TGGAGAAAAGTGTTAAAAAGTGAAGGGCTCATGAGTAGAGGACCTCAGTAATACTTAATAATACCGTGAAACTCAGCAAGGAGCAATATTTTGCCAAGTGATTCGGATTATATTTTAAGCTCAAAATTTTTTAGATAGAATATTTACCATATTAATGAAATGCCCTGTATATGTATGGCATAATTATACGTCAAAAATGTGATTAGAAAGTTAAAAGCCTAAAATATTTTCCCAATACTTCAAAAATAAATAAATAAAAATAGTATATTTTGGGGTGATCTTTAATTTTCTTGGATCTCATCCCATCTTGTACCTTTCTATTTGTCCTAGTTTACTGTAGACGTAGAGTAAATAAATAATATAGTTAGGTTTAAAAAGCGAAAATATTCACTGTGATAAGAAATTAAACTTCAGTAAACAAAAATTCGTTTCAATATTATGTATCTTAAATAAATAATATATTACATTAGAGTGTGGATAGTGAGATTTTTCACAAGAGTGGGAAAATATTGTCGAACGAGGCATAAGGTTTTTTTTGTTAGAGCATTATTACTAGTTATTATTGACTAATCTACAATTTTAATCTAAAAATCTTATAAACTAATTTCTTATCTAAGAAGTCCCCATTATTTCTATAGGAAAACATCCCAAGTTGGCGTGACGATTTATTACACTGTTTTACACTAGCACTAACATTAACGTTCACTGCACTAGCTCAAATGGCTTTTTCCTTTTGACACTTCTGTTGAGTGTAGAGTTGTCCAGTAATTTCAGCGCTTCTTCATTGACGTGGGAGTGGAGTCGACCCTCATGTTTCAGTTTCACAGCAAACGTCTTTATTCCTTCTTCGATTGTTGTCATCTTCAGGTCTCTATGAAGATAATCGTTTCGATAGAACCAAGGTGCATCAACGATGCATCTTAGGACTTTATTTTGGAAACCTTGTATCATATTGATATTACTTTTGCTGACACATCCCCATAGCTGTATGCCAAAAATTTGGATTTGTTTATAAATCAGCAGTTTGTTGTACACTGACAATTTGGATTTTCTTCCTAGGAGTCAATACATTTTTTTGAATTTAAGTTCGTTCTTTACGCTTTTTTTATGTGATCTTTCCATTTAAGTCGTATATCTGGGTTCATCCCTAGGTATTTGGCCGAATCGTGATGCGGAATAACGACTTTATTTATTCTTATTTGTTTTTGTTCATTTGGTCGAAGAGTAAAATCAATATGCACTGATTTAATTTGATTTATTTTTATTTTCCACTTTTTTGTCAATCGATTGATTCTGTTGCAGGTTTCCTGAGGTCTCTGCATTAGTTCCGCCAACTGCCAATATTGCAGTGTCATTCGTAAATGTTGCTATTTTGACACATAGTTGTTGAGGGATATCGCTGATGTATAATAAGTAAAGAACCAGTCCTAGCACACTGCCTTGTAGGACACCTGCTTTAATTTCTTTCATTTCGGAGTATGCCTCCTCTTGCTTTACTCTAAACATTCTTCCCGTTGAATGTAGAATGTCGACATATTGTCTAGGGAGCAATTTTTCAAGTTTCTGTGTCAGGTCAGCGTGCCAAAATTGTCAAATGCTTGGGCTACGTCAAGAAATATAGCTGAACATTTATATTTTTCTTCGTAAGCCTTTTCGATGATATCGGCTATCCTGTGTACTTGATCTATTATCGAGTGTTTGTTTCTAAAACCAAATTGGTTCGAAGGAATCAGGTTTTTATTTTCAATTATTGGATTTAGTGGTTTTAGTAGTAGTTTTTCAAATAACTTAGATATTATTGGTAACAATGATACAGGTCTATATGATGACACTTAATTCAGAGGTTTTCTAGCTTAGGAATTAGGATAACTTTAACCATTTTTCCCTCATTTATAAGGTATGTCAATTTAACGATAGCCTTCTGTGACAGTTTCTTTAATATTTCTCCAGTAATAAGGTTAGGGTCTTTCTGTGAGTTGATGTTTGTCTGAATTTCTTTCGTAACTTCATTGGGAGTAACTAATTTCCATATTATGGATCGTCTCGTTAGGAGTGTCTTGATTTTCAACGTCTTTTGTAGGTGGTCAGCGAAAATATCAGCTTTCTGTTGGTTGTATCTTGCCCATTTGTTATCTGCTATTCTGATAGGAGGACAGTGTTTACACGAATTTTTCATCTTTTTAGTTGCCTTCCAGAGCGAATAATCAGTTTATTTTTCATCTGTTAGCCCTACTAGGTATCTGTTGAAGGATTCTTCTATGTGATTTAGGATTTCTCTTCTCAGTCTTTGGGTAGCCCTATTTAATATATTTTTATCTTTTGGTGATCTTGTCATCTGTTATTTCTTTCCTAGTTTTCTTTTTTCTGCTACCAGTTCTCTTATCTCGACAGGATAGTTTTTTCCAGCTATTAATCTTCTTACTTTTGGTATGTTCCTCCATGCAGCTTGTTGGATTTCAACTATAAACCTTTCCAGTTCTTTATCTAGCTGATTTTTCGTTTTAAGTGTTATGGTCAGTTGAATAGTTAAGTCCTATTGAACGAGGCTAAGTTGAGTGCGAAAATCAGGCGAGTGTGAAAAATCACTTTTACACAAGTGCTATGCAATATTTTTTACAGCACCATAATTTCATAAAAAAAGTAAAACTAGGAAATCAGGATATGGAAGTTCAATTAAGATGTGGCTGGTTTTAGATTAATTTTTTTATGCCTTACTGTATAATTTTTAGGAAGTTTTAGGAATTGTGTTTTATATAAATTAAAAACATTGTGATTCCATTTACAAACATTTTCATAGGATGATAAAGGTATAAAAATATTGGTTACAAAAAAATATTAGAATACATTAATATTTCCCATTAGTTTTTTTTTTGTAACCAGGGCAATTCTTTGTAAGGTTTGGTTTACTTGTTACTAAAGCATTTAACGAGGCATTTATTTATAAGCTTACTAGAACATACTATAATAAAAAATACCAAAATCAAAACATCCTAAAATTCCTAAAATTCAAATCCCATTTAGAAATCCCCAAACTTAAATTTGACATATGACATTCAATAATAGGGTTACCACACAGGGTTACCACAGTAACCACAATCACGGAACACTTACCATAATATGTAACCAAGTACGTTGTAGTTATGAAGACTAGAGATAAGGAGACGAATCGGCATACTCAAAATACGGTCCCAAAAAATGCATGCTAATTGAGCTTCTATAATTAACCGCATGGGCGCTGATACTGCATACGGTGTTCAAAATACATGGCTTCTTATGGAAATTATACATAATTTTCTCAAAATAATAAAAATAAACTTGTTTATACCTAACTAAAGTACAGAACATACTGTTGTATTTATTTCTAAATAAGTCTTGCATGTTTTAATTGATAAATTATTTAATTTTATCTATATAAAATACAAATTAGGTATGTAATGTATGACTAAATTCGAAAAGGTTTCTTAAATGTTGAAATTTGATAAATACAATTTTGGGGCAAATTTTTTTTGAATTGAACCAATATAATTTTAAGAGTAAAATAAAACACAGTTAACAGATTTTTTATTGTTATAATACAAGTATAAAAGGAGATTTGGGAATGTACATTGTACATGGTATTACCTCATCCTTTAATTTCAGCTTTCCCCTTTTTATTTTGCTAACAGTACCATCAGTAAAAATAGTCTCATAATATTTGATATCTTCTAAAAAGTATAGAACAGCATCATCTCTAGAAAGTGATTTATCGGCACTAAGAACGATATATATGCTACCACTGTTCTAAACGTTTAGTAGGTATCCTATAAAAACATTTAAAATGACACAATTGGGGTCAAAAAAAAAATAATAGTAGCAACTCTTTATCTAACATTAATACTCTATAAAAAATAAATTTTCTTTTCTAGTAAGTTAAATTTAATTCATAATTATTGTTGTTTGTAAGTCAGCATCTATGACTGTAAAATTTTATATTATAGAAACTTGTAATAAAATAAACTACACTTCGTAAGATACATATTGACTAGTTTACAATAAATATTATATTTAGACATGAATACATTATTTTACTTACATTAGAAGCTTTAAAAAGACATTGAGTTGATTTCTTCTTGTGTTTTCTTTAGTTTTACATTTGATTTTTATCCTGTTACCACTGTTTTACAATCTGGAACGACGTAAATCTTGCTTTGATGTTTTTTGTCACTCATATTACTTGTACTCAGGCACTTTTTTTTACATTATTTTGATTTTTTTCACCAATTTTTTAAAAAATCACTTCAATTTACATTGACTTACATAGAAAATTGACACCGCTGTCATTAGACCTGCCAACTACAGTCAATTTCGCGAACTTTATAAAAAGAAGGACAAATATTTAAAATTTGACCATTGCCGATTCGCCTCCTTCTCTCTAGTCTTCATAGTTGTAGTAAGCTTATAAAGAAATGCCTATTACCTGTTACCAATCAAAATTAATAAATAAAACAATCGTCGCATAAAATTGTGTATATTATCTTCTTAGTTTGAGATCATTTAATTTTCCGTTGTTATAATCTGAATCGATATTTCAGGAGTGACTGGTCCCGTTAGATTTTACGATAACGAAAGAAAAGCGAGTATCCTCTTGAAACAATTTCAAGAAGGAAAAGAGATTAAAGTGGGAGAGTACAGTGCAGCAACACAACACTTGGATCTAACTCTAGGAGCACCTCTCAAGTGGATCGGGAAGTACGTATAAGTGCATCTTTACCATTTACCGATAAATCGACAAGCAAATGCGATACCCAAACAAATTTGGATACGCAACAAGTTTTTCTTCCTTCGGCATATTTAGCGTATCTTACAAATTTTTGATATTTTAAAAGTTTGGCAATTAGCTATAACAATACCTTTTTTATGTAAAAGGCCGTTAAATATAAAGGAATTGTTACAGAATATACCCCTTTGGGGTCTATTCTGTAACAATTCCTTTATATTTAACGGCCTTTAAAAATATTGGCGGCCTTTAAAAGTATATTTGTATTCGTTAATTTACTTCTGTCATTATTTAAACAGATTTCTTTAAGATAATCCTCTAATGTATGTTAAAGATCCGTTTAAATAATGACAGAAGTAAAAAAGAAAATATTTTTAAAGGCCGTTAAATATAAAGGAATTTTTACAGAATAGACCCCTTTATCAGTTTAATAAGCATTTAAAAGTAAATTATTAAAATGCTATTATTGATCATTATTATTCGCGCCTAGGTTTATTTATTTAAAAACACACTATTTATAATTTATTTCAGACGTACTATTTAATTTATATAATATTTAGACACTATATTATGTTATGTTGAGAATGGGGTGTTAATACACTGCGACCTAAAAGATCTATTGTGCCCCCTTCTGTCGCCGCACTAAGGAAATGTCTCAATGCCTATAGCGACCCTTCCAATCCTATTTTCTCAAGGAAGTGTAGGATTTGAAGTGGCTTCAAGTTAGGTAAATCTCCCTCTTCTATTTGATATCCTCCTAGATATAGTGCCCTTGGATTCTGGAGTGCTACAATTTAGACACTAACTAACAATTCTAATTTATTTCTTACACTTTAACTTTTCAATACAATGTTCTATATAAAACTAAACTCGGCGCTGATACGTCGGCTATTTATATTAAGTCCAACTCCTACTAGAAGTCTCCAGACGGTCGTCTCGAAAATTTTATCTCTGACTCAACGGCATACTTCGCCCGTTCTACCCGTTTCTCGAGCTGCAGCGGCATTCCCAGAACATTCCGTCGCCTTGAGCACGAGTTGGTTGCCTTCTGAAGGCCGCGCTTGCTTTAGGCACAGGGTCGGATTAGGAATTTCATATTACTTTTAAATGTTTCACCTCACCTAATCAGTTATCTCACTCGGACTAATTGGATATTCTAAAATAATATCCACTCCAGGGATACAAATTGGTTATAGTAAGAGATCCCACTGCAAATTTCAACCGTCATCTGATAACAAAATGAAATATGCCCCAAAAGCATGTAACAAAATTGTATTTTACCAAATTGCACCTGTACCAATCCCTATCCTGAGCAAAGTGGTTAAAAAAATTATTTTATATTAAAAAAATCACATAAGACACAATTGTGTTTTGCTCTGAAAATTACAATCCTAATTCATTGTGAACCTAGCTTTTAAACCTGAATTATTAATATTTTTACCTACCTTTTAAACCATGTGTATGTATGAGAGGAAGAAGGATAGTATTGTATAAACCATTTGCAGAGATAGTAATTATAGTATATTGTGTCACAAGTGCAGAAAATGAGCTTTAGAAGCCCACGGCTATTAGCTGCATGAGCGAGCGAAGCGAGGGCAGCTGATAGCTAAGGGCTGCTAAAGGGTTTTCTGCATGTGTGACACACAATTGTTTTTCGCCTTCCAAAAAAAAACAAAGAAAAGGAAAATATAACGAAAAACTTTAATTTTACAAATACAAGAAACTTATAGTAAAATTTACGAATTTATTTATTGTAGTAATTAATATTTGACTATTCATGTTCACTAATAGACTTACATTGAAGTTTAATCAAAATTTATGTGAAACGTCAAAGTACACAAGTGACAGTCAAAGATATCTAGTGAAAAACTACAAAATTGGGCTGTTATGAGTTTAGCAGCCCATGGGATGATATACGTTACTTTCGGTCATATTTTTAGGGTTGATATGATTCATTTTCACATATGGTAGGCGAAAAAATAATTATAAACTCTTATTAGACAATTATTTTAAACCATAATCAAAGTTTTTTTTTGTCGTTTCTATGACAACCTGTAAAAAAGAATCACAACAATATGCATACAAATAAATTTTTAAATCAGCAAAAATTGATTCATAATTTTAATGATTTTTACCTTCTAATCGTGGATAGATGTTTTTGTGCGATGTTAAGAGGAAGAAAATGTTTTCCTTTAACGATATATATCAAGATATATTTAAATATGTTATTTTCTGGAAAACTTTAAGGGCAAACAAAATTAGCGCTGTCATGCCTTATGTGATTTTCTTTTATATAATATTTTTTTTTATCCACTTTGCTCAGGATTGGGATTAGCACAGGTGCCATTTGGTAAAGTACATTGTTTTTACATGCTTTTGGGATATATTTTATTTCGTTATCAAATGACATTTGCGGTAAGCTCTTGGGCTATTATGATTTGATTCTGAATGCGCCAGGGATACAAATCCGAGTTGCGCAATGTATAAACTGGAACATTGAGATCAAAAGTGCCGACACAGAGCGAGCGACCTGATCATTTAGGTATAAACTGTGGTTCTGGCCATTGCTCGATGGGGTTCTGGTCAGAAATAATTTTTCATCAACGACGAAAAACTACTAGACTAATCCATTAATTCATAATTAAACCCATATTTATTGTAAGCATTCAGATTGGGTTTTGCATTGGGCGGATAAAGCTGTCGCATAGACTGTCGCATTAGAAAGAGCGAGATGGCTGTCAATTTGAGTGGGGATAGTTTGCGCGAGTATGTTTATCAGGGGTACGAGCACACGTTTTATGAATTAATAAGTGATTACGGCTATGATGCTTGCTTTACACGGCTGTCGCACTTAAATAAATTGCGTGCTTTCCTGGAAATCGACTCGAGTTGTAACGAGAAAAAGACAAATAACTGGCATTAAGAATGCAAATACACTTCCTTAATGTAATTTTAAAAGCCTTTTGAGCGTTTTAGAGTCATATGTTAAGTCAATTCCTTGCATCAATCCAACCATCAATAAACCTTGCAACAAGGCTCTCCCATAATTTGTCAATTACGTGGATGTCACAGTGAATGTTTGCAATTCGATTTTTGTAAACATGATTAATCTCGTAGTTGTTCGTCGTTGTTTTTCATCTTTCACCATTTTGGCATTAGAGGCACTAGAAGCAGGGCCAGGATCAGAATTTAGTTGAATACATTGAATTTTAATGCTTGAATAGTATTTTCTCGTGTTGTTTGTATCCTCTTATTGTAAGAAATTAAGACGAATCTGAAATCTTATATTATGCATTCGAGGAAATCCTACAAATTAATTGATTGATGTGTTAAAATTATTGAGATATAATAGAGGAGATGCTGTGACGATGCTAAATTGTCCGCACCTTTGTATTACATTTTTACGTCAATGTCAAATTCGAGATAGTGTAGCTGGTCCGTTTTAGTGAGAATAAATGCCATTTTTCGTTAAATAGCTTCATATAAATGATATAAACCTATGTTCATTCCGTCAGTTTTTAAATATAAAATTATTGACTTCAAATAAATCAAAGTACGACTCAAGTCACCATTTTGGATTACAATTTTCTGTCACTTGAAGTGCGTCCATTTTGTCATATCGCAAAATAGTGTTTATGTCGTCTCTACTTTATTCTATCTCGATGGTTAAAATGAATAAGTATAAATAATTAAGTATGGCATCGCATAATTAAGTATTATCTAATATCATGCATAGGCGCCGACTTTTGTTTATCTCCGGAGGGTCCGTACCATCATGCGGGCTAAAAAAAGGTCCTCACCTGGCTCCGAACTCCAATTAAGTATTCAATTCAAAAAGGTCCGCACGTTCTCGTTTCTCCGGGATTATTACCGTGTTCCTTTCCAAAATAACGTATACATATATGTAGATACGTGGTTATTCTTAATAATGTAATCAAAAAGAAAAATCAAGTCTCATAATAACAATTATCTTCACTCAGGTTCATTCAGGTTTATAATACAAGAATGAATTAGAAATACTCGATAGATATTTTCAATTTTATTAACATGAACAACTTAATTGGACCATATTTCTTGAGATATGCCTCCAACAACTTCTCATCTAAAGCGTGTGTCTAAAGCTGTAACAATTTTTTTTCCTGACTTCCCTTTGATGTTGCTCCAAATTAATTCTATGACGTAGCCATCTCAATCACAACATAGCTTACTTTAAAATGTAAACCTATCAATAAGGCAATAAAATCTTTTTTTTAGAGCCGTGGGAAGATATGATACAACCATTTTATTTAAAAACTCCGAAAATACCACTTTTAACCTTTCACTTTTTGAATTTCACCAGTTTGGCAAGAATGGTAAGGGACATTATCCATTACGATTACAGCATGTGGTTGAAAATTAGGGAATGAGTTATTTGCCAAACCATTTCTTGAACAAGATAGATGTCATATCTTGGTGATAATCAATTTGAAGGACCATTCACAAAATTATCATTAAAAAGGATAGTGTCGATTAAAATTATAAATTTTCTGATAATAGATTTTTAATTTTTGTAGTTCTCATTTCATAATTTGTCCATAATTGTTTAAATAAACATAGATATGGGATTAATAGGAAAATAAAAGTAGATATTTGGAAACAAAATGTAAATTCTCTTAATTTATTAGTACCTACACGTCACGAGGCATACATTTTAAATTTTAATAATTATTACCCCTGTGGCATCTGAAGGGCAAAAGTTTATTGAAGTACTGGTTTTAAAAATAGCAGTTTCCAGGTTTTTGTTCTATTATATAATAATAACTTGTTTTTTATCCACAGACATCCTCCAAAAGACCGCACTTTAGTTATAATCGAACACACCAGGGTAAACAAGACTGTCTACGCCATTTTAGCAACGTGCGCTGTTTGCGGCATCATAATGGCTATCGTATTATTGGCGTTTAACATTAAATATCGAAATCAACGATACATCAAAATGTCCAGCCCGCAGCTGAATAATTTGATCATAATCGGATGCATGTTAACTTATACCAGCGTAATTTTTTTGGGATTGGATTCAGGACTATCCAGTATTGGTGAGAATCTTTTTTTAAAGTTTTAAACCTAGAAAAATCTTATATACCTATTAGGCATTCCAAACAAAAGAACTGTCGGTGGGGACTGTGTGGAGAAGTGGAGGATTGGTATATCTAAGGGGTTCCGCCATACGATGTATTATATCTACAATATGAATAATGGATTAAATTTCTTTCGAACCCAACGAAACTATTATTTTTTAAAAAACAGCATACACATTTTTACATATTTTGAAAAAAAAAATCGTACAATAGGTACATGTACGAGCCCCTTCCCATTTCAATTGGCCCACCTATTTAAATTTAGGAAATTCGTATTTAAAGATTAAAAATATAAATATTTCATGAACTTTCCAATTTTTATTCATTGAACAATATGTTTAATATCGTTTAATCATAAAAAATATGTAGAAAACATTAAAATATTTATTTAATATAAAATTTAAAAAAAAAATAAACAAATAGTTGGAATCAAACGTTAATCAATTTTAAAGTTTACCATTGAGTAACGTCACCTTTATTTTTTATTACAGCTGAAATTCTTTGCGGCATGGTATTAACTAAGCCTTGGCAAAATTCTGGTGTAAATGAATCCCATATATCTTGAAGTTTTTGTTTAAGTTCAGGGATTGTTCTTGCAGGATGTTTTCGAAGTACCTTTTTCATCTCATGCCACAATGTTTCTATTGGTGATAAATCAGGACTACTAGAAACCCATTCCAAAAGTGGAACACCGAAGACTTCCATCCATTTTAGAGCTTTTTTTGACGTGTGACACCCTGCTCCATCCTGTTGAAATACAAAATCTTTCCCTGATGTCAAATATAATTCCATAGTCGGTAAAAGTGATTCCTCCAAAATGTCCAAATATTTATTTGTATTTACAATTCCTTCAATAAAATGCAATTTCCCTATTCCTTTAGATGACATGCTGCCCCAGACAATGACCGATGCGGGACATTTTACTTTTTTTTTGAGACAGTCTGGATGGAACGCTTCATGTTTTTTGCGAATAACTCGACTTCTGCTATCTCCAACACAAACTTCGAATCGGGCCTCGTCACTCCATTCACGGTGCTTGGGCACAAAATTTAAATGAAAAGTTTATTTACTAGACTTTTTTTTCGGTCAAAGTATTTCTGAAGGGCTATAGATTGGCGCAATATATTTTTTAAAATCGGTTCCAGCAGCCGTTTTTGAGAAAACTCGATTTTTAATGAAAAAGTGACCTTTTTTTTACTTTTTTGCTTGTAACTTGCGCATTTCACATTTTCTCGGCTTGCCAAAAGTAAATTTCAATGGGAAAATGTCCGCTCTACAAAAAAGCATCAATGACTTCTTCTCTAAAATCAGCAGATTTTGAGTTAAATGAGATCTCATTTAATGCATTGTTAATTAATTTATGATTTAAAAAAGCATGTAATCTTTAATACTTTCTTATTGTCGTTATATAAAGAAAAGATTAATAGGTGGGCCAACTGAAATGGGAAGGGGCTCGTATAGCATAATATAAATTGAATTTAATAAAAAAAATTAAAAAAAAATTGGCATGATAATATTTATCTATTTATAAAAATGTTTACAACGAAAAAAAACAACTAAAGAAAATAAACCAAACTTTAAATTAACACATTTAAAGTAATCAGACTGTCACTTGAAAGTGATTGAAATTTTGCATGCAAGCTTTTCTTAAGCCGTGATAGTCCGTGTTGGTACAAAATCACCATGATCAAAAACTCGATAAGTGAGAACGAAAATGACTGCCTTCAGAAATTAGGAACGGCCTATGAATCTTTGCTAGTAGTTTTTAATTTTATTGTTTTATGTTCTGAAGATGTATTTGTCATGGATCTGGTAACACGATGAATTGTGTTACGGTTAACATTCGACAGAACATCCCGCGTACGCTGCTCGAGGACTTCTCTGCTTTCTGGGGGATCTAATTCATAAATTTCATTTTTAACATGCCCCCACAAGTAAAAGTCTAATGGGATGAGGTCTGGAGACCTCGCAGGCCACCGCACCGGGCCACTGTTGGATATTATTTTTTCACCAAATGTCTCAGATAAAAGTTTGTACTTCCCTGGAATTATGGGCGGGGCAGCCGTCATGTTCAAACCATACGTTATGGAACTCGTTATCTGGAACAACTTCCCTAATTGCCGGTACTATTTCATTTTGCAACATTGCAAGGTATCTTTGTCAAGTCAATGTGTGATCATAAATAAAGGGCCCAATTAGTTGGTTTCCTAATAAAATAAAAAAAATTCTTCTTACGGCAGGAATATTAAAATAATTTATGGATAAAAGGGAGACGATAAATATTTGCAAAACAAAGTATAAAATATCTTACCATACAGTCCGCACCAAACATTAAAGCCAAATCGAACTTGCAATCTACGCTGTTCCCGAAACTGAGGGTTTTCGGTAGCACAGTAATGGCGATTGTGCTTGTTAAATATTCCCACATACTTTGATTTTCTTTTACTATACGGAGAATGGTCGCACTGCGCAGCTTTCTGAGTGCCTTTTAAAAGGAGATAGAAAACTCCACCATTTTGATCCCTTATTACGTGTTGCCTACATCTTGGCGCAATATTTTTAATAGGTGCGTTTTAATCATCCGCTTCTGCTTCGGAATTGTCGGTTTTCTTGTTTTAATCTGACAGGTTAAAACCGACTAAACCGACAATTCCGGAAGCAGAAGCGGATAATTAAAACGCACCTGATATTTTGCGTTCTGCTGTCAATGTCAGTGAATATTATTTGTGGAGTCACAGTTTATTGCTAAAGAATCAGTTAGCTCACTCGGACCAGTTGAAAGTTCCAAAATAACATCCACTCCAGGGATACAAATTCAGGATACGCAGAAGACTGCTGTTTTATTATAGGCGGTTGTCATATATTGTATTATCTGAGTTGCGCAGTGTGTAAACTGGAATATTGAGATAAAAAGTGCCGACGCAGAGTGAGCGATCTGATTCTTTAGCTATAAACTGTGTCATAGGGTTCAAAATGGCCGCGCCCTATGTTGGGCGTGTTGGACCTCTCTCTTGCCTCGTATAGTAATCAAAGTATGTGGGCCGCGCCCTATGTTGGGCGTGTCGGACCTCTCTCTTGCACCGTATAGTAAAGAAAATCAAAGTATGTGAATATTCCCACATACTTTGATTTTCTTTTACTATACGGAGAATGGTCGCACTGCGCAGCTTTCTGAGTGCCTTTTAAAAGGAGATAGAAAACTCCGCCATTTTGAACCCTTATTACGTGTTGCCTACATCTTGGCGCAATATTTTTAATAGGTGCGTTTTAATCATCCGCTTCTGCTTCGGAATTAGGCATTCCAAACAAATGAATTACCAGTGGGCAGGTTTGGTATATCTAAGGGTGGCAACATATGGTGTATTCTATCTACTTTACGTAAAATCATGAATAATGGATTACATTTAAATATTTTATGTCAAACACAATAAAAATAATATTTAAAAAATCCATCCATACATTTCTTCATAAATTGGCAGGCTTGGCGAGTACTACTTCGATTAAAAATAGCGTCCAAGTTGCAAGACTATGTCGCTACCCCCTTAAATATACAAGAATTTCCCACTGGCACCTATTGTTTGACAGGTCGTTGGAATGCCTAATTGTCGGTTTTCTTGTTTTAATCTGACAGGTTAGAACGACTGAACCGACAATTCCGGAAGCAGAAGCGGATGATTAAAACGCACCTGATATTTTGCTTGCTGCTGTCAGTGTCAGTCACATACTTTGATGTGGTGTCAGTGAATATTATTTTTGGAGTCACAGTTTATTGCTAAAGAATCAGTTAGCTCACTCGGACCAGTTGAAAGTTCCAAAATAACATCCACTCCAGGGATACAAATTCAGGATACGCAGAAGACTGCTGTTTTATTATAGGCGGTTGTCATATATTGTATTATCTGAGTTGCGCAGTGTGTAAACTGGAATATTGAGATAAAAAGTGCCGACGCAGAGTGAGCGATCTGATTCTTTAGCTATAAACTGTGTCATAGGGTTCAAAATGGCCGCGCCCTATGTTGGGCGTGTTGGACCTCTCTCTTGCCCCGTATAGTAATCAAAGTATGTGGAATATTCCACAATTTGTGACATAAGTTTCATCTGTCCACACAATGTTATTTTGAAAGTTCAAATTATCTTGACATTTGCCCTGGTACCAATTGCAAAAAGTTACTCTTCTGGTAAAGTCACCTTCTCGAAGTCCTTGTACAATGGTGGGTTTATACGGACGATAATGTTGTTTTTTTAAGACGTCATGAACTGTTGACTTAGCAATATCTAAATCTCTGCCAGCAATCCTTGTAGAGGACGTAGGATTTTCATGAAAATATTCATGTTGCGATTCTCATTATCCTTCTCATAATTTTTAGGCCGAGGTTTTCCAAAAACTCCGAATTCAAGTAAATTCATTACAAGTGTGGAGAAATACCTTCTGTTGGGTTGTCGTCTATCCGGATAATCTTTCAAATAATAATTATTGTTGGCGGCTCTATCCACATTCCTTCCACTTTTAATCTAAGATACTAACATATCAAACTTCTCTTCGTTCGAGAAATGTTCTGCCATTCTGCACACTAGGCCCGAGCAAAAACATAAAATGCTTTTAAATAATAAAAAAAAAACGTTCACAGTTGTGACAGATTTATAATTCCTTATTTGTCTTAAATCCAAAGCCTACTAGGGTGTTAAAGTTGATGATGGTTCCAAGAAACCGAAACGTTGCAAATAAAATCTGACGACACAGGCGTTTTCTACGTGAAAAGTTGCTTTCAAGAAAATTTTTACAGAGTATTTTCGGAAATGCGTCATTTTAGTTTTTCAAAATATCTCAAAAACCAAAAGAGAAAAATCTCAAACTAAACGGCACTGAATTATAAACAGAATTGTCTAAAACGTTCCCCATTTAACCGTTTTTCTATCTCTAACAGTTTCGGAGATTGCAATATATGCATCACCAATTTCGGACACACTGTATATAAATATGAGTTCAACTCTTTATAACATATACAAAATATAAAACACCAACTCCAATATCTCACATATTTATCACGATTCTCGACTTATTAGTCAACAACGCGATTTAACTTATCGCGATCGAGATCCAGGGGCTCCGGTTGGAATCTCCACGATCTCAAGTCGCTACTGAGAAATCCTACCAGGAGAGTCTCTTACACCGAGAATTATACCCAGTGGAAAAAAGCCCCATGGGTCTCGAACATTCCTTTTTATACAGAGTGGCCCAAAAGTCTGGAAACGGCCAATTATCTCGTAAATTGCTAGTCCTAATTGTACAAAATTTGGGGTACACCTATTTTGAGATACGGTGATTCCAGATTTGATATTTGCAATGTTGCCAGATTTGCCGTTTCTCTTAAATTATTAGTCACTTTGGTTTTTCAAATTCATCACCCTGTATATTCAGTCATTATTGGAATCTCCTATTCAATACGAGTTCAACCATATGTAACATTTAAATAAATAAAATAAGTCTGGCAACGCCTAATTGTCTTAATAAATTTTTTAATACAAACTATTTTCAACTACATTAAAACGTAACAATTGAAAGATTACAACATTTTTAACACAATGGTTACTTTATCAAGTGTTCAAAATATGCTCCATTTGTGAGTTGACAGTACCCTAATCGATGCGTCTACCACATTTCTCCATGATTGTTTTATTTATTTAAGACCTTCCAGATTACATAAAATCATAAGTGTTACATATGATTGAATTCGTATTGAATAGGAGGTTCCAATGTTCCAATAATGACTGAATATACAGGGTGATGAATTTGAAAAACCAAAGTGACTAATAATTTAAGAGAAACGGCAAATCTGGCAACATTGCAATTAGGATTAGCAATTTACGAGATAATTGGCCGTTTCCAGACTTTTGGGCCACTCCGTATATAGTCTACTGTTATTTTAGGTAAGATTAATAATAATTAACCTCGTACGTGATCGGGACTTAAAACAAATCCTTTATTGTAGTAACGAATTAATTTGGAAAATATGAATTACGAATTTAAATTTCTACATTTTCTATTCGCAGATGCCTTCCCTTACATTTGTACCGCTCGAGCTTGGACTCTGATGGCGGGATTTTCATTAGCCTTCGGAGCTATGTTTAGCAAAACCTGGCGAGTTCATTCAATATTTACTGATGTTAAATTAAATAAAAAAGTGATCAAAGATTACCAACTATTTATGGTCGTTGGAGTTCTTCTGTTCATTGATTTGGCATTAATGACAACGTGGCAGGTTGCAGATCCGTTCTATAGAGATACGAAACAAATGGAACGATATGTAAGTAAATTTAAAACAAAAATACTATTTTGATATGTTAAATTGTTTTTTATTTGTTCATTTATTGTTTTTAGCCTCATCCGTCTAACGAAGACATCATCATAATTCCCGAGAATGAATACTGCGCTTCAGAGCACCAAACTATTTTTGTTGGCTCTATTTATGCCTACAAAGGGCTTTTAATGGTAAACAAACACTTTTAAGGGCACATTTTAACTTGTCCCTCAATAGGCTTAAATAGAAATTGGGTCATCTTAAGTGACGTTTAATAATTCTCGCATTTTTATAGACCAATCAAATTCTGAAAAAATGTCATTTGTAGATCTTCGGTGCTTTCTTGGCTTGGGAAACTCGTCACGTGTCAATTCCAGCTCTTAATGACAGTCGCCATGTTGGTTTATCTGTTTACAATGTTGCAATAATGTGTATTTGCGGTGCTGCCGTTGCTTTGGTACTCGTAGATCACCAGGATGCCATGTTTTTAATAATAGGTATACAAATTGTATTAAATAATTAAAAAAAAAAGAGTAGTTTTGCCAGTGAAGCTACGGTAAATAAAGTAGGCGCGTATAAATACGAGCATCACATGACGAATTGTTCACTTGACAGGGTAAATCAACTCTCGACGTTTTATGAGGCTTTTGCCACAGCGCACTCTGGGGTCACCGGCAACGCTACTCTTGTTGAGCTCTAGCAGAAATCTTCCAATGTTCCTCTTATTTAGGTGTATTCGTGATGTTTTGTACCACTGCAACATTATGGCTGGTATTCGTTCCAAAAATGCTAGAACTAAGACGAAATCCAGGTGGTTCAAATGACAAAAGATTCAGGCCCACGCTTAGACCAATGTCAAAAACTAGAAGGGATTCTAGCGTTTCTGAATTAGAGTCCAAAATCAAAGACGTTAAATGCTTGAATTCCAAATATAGAAAAACTCTTCTAGACAAGGAATCTGAGTTACAGGTGAGACAAACACATTCCAGAACTTCAGAGAAAGAGCAATAATGTAATTCTTCTTCTTCCCTAGATGTTGATACGACGTTTGGGTAACGAAGCAAAAGATATTTTGGACTCTAGGGAATCTATAACCGATACCAACAGGTTGTCAGTACCCCTGTTGCGTAAAGAAGCACCCAGTGCCACTGAAACTAGTGATCTAACATCTTTATGCAGCCTGAGTTCACAGGATTACGCATCTCTACAACATACTGATAGTCAAAAGTGCGTAAAATTGTATAATTCTAAGATATTATATTAAAAGCTATTTTTGGTTGTAACATATATTATTAAGGGATACTACTACTTCATATTCCTACACAAAATATTATTTCAATTCTTCTTTAAAATAACAGCAATTTGATATTTGCAGCCATCACAATCATCGCAGAATCAAGTATGTCAAAACTAAAGGTCTTATAGAAATAATTAGGCAGAAAAATATACTTCGCATTTCCGTACAAATTTAAGCGGGGATCATAGATCAAAGCAGGACTGTCTTTACAGCGACGAGCAACACACTAGGTGGTGTGATTTTGAGATGCAACAACTGATAGGTTACAACAGTTGCAAGTTGCAACAAACTGATGTTACATTTTAAAAAATTTCAACTATCAATAACCCAGTATGTTTGATCTATGGACTCCAACATGGGGAGTACACTGGTTTAGATAAATAAAAAAACTAATTTGTAATAATTTATGGAAGTAGATAAAATAATTTGGCTAACTGGTGAACTCCTATTGAAAAAAAAAAATGCTAGCATGTGGAATGGCTCTAAATGCTCTGAGAACAGATGAAAAGTGTGCTATGTATGGGGCTACTCATCTATAATAATTTCAAAATAAATAATGTAGTATTTTATTCCAGTCATACAGTGTACGAACCTTGCAAAAAATGTGGAAGGATCTGTGATTCTGTGATTTATACAATGCTTTAGAGGATGTTGAACACGAATCTGAACTTTCCTACGTTAAATTTTTAAGAAAACAAAAAAGAGTTTATACGCTTTACGCTATACGCTTTTCAACTATATTTTTCATTTGCAAATATCTGATGTGTTTTCCCAGCTAAAATAAGTGTCTGAAACCCGATAAAATACACTTGAGTGAGTACGGTACGGTCCATCTAATTGAAAAGCTTTTAGAATATGAATTAAAGAAAAATAATTTCTTCAGTCTTTTTATTCGAAACATTTTTTCATATCTGCATACACAAGATTCTTTTATCATGTGCAAACATAATATACTCTGTAGCATGGGCGTCGTTTGGGGGGGCAAGGGGGGGCAGTAAGCGTAAGATGTGCATTACGAACAACAAACTCAGAAATAATATTCAGGCTAATATAGTTGAAGAATATTATAGGTTGAATATATTTATTACATATCTGGATTCCCTTATTACGTCGCTTACATCACCGAAGTTACATCCCAAAAAGATAAAAATAATACTTTTTTCACTACCGATCAGAAAATGAAAATAGTAGAAAAATTTGGAAACGACAATTTTGAAGCTGAATACCAAACGTGGATAGCTAACGGGAGTACGAAAGATCTTCCTGCACACAATGAGCTCTCCATTAATGATATAGCGTCCAAACATTGTGATTATTATCCAGACATACAAAAAGCTTTAAAAATATTTATGACCCTTCCACCAACGACAGTGTTAATCGAAAGTACTCTAAGGCATGTTTAAACATGGCTGCAGTCTATTCTCTCAGTGCAAAGTCATCAGGCCCGACTAGAGGGGGGGGGTAGCCGGGACTAATTCCCGGGGACCGGGCTTAAACGGGGGCCCGGTAGCGCTGTAAGGGGGGCCCGACAACAGCATTTTCTGTTCTGCATGAGAAATTCGACACAAGATGAGAGTAGAAGGAGAAGCAATTGACGTAGAGAGAATAGCTTTTAGATGTGAGGCCCTTTTTTTTGTTTTTTTTTTTTTAGAAGGAGAAGCAATTGAGGTAGGGAGAATAGCTTTTTGATGTGAGGATTTTTTTTTTGTTTAGAAGAAGAAGCAATTGAGGTAGGGAGAATAGCTTTTTGATGTGAGAACCTTTTTTTTTAGTAATTGAAGTAGGGAGAATAGTTTTTTGTTTCACGGGGCCAGATCTAGAGAATTGTCCTGGGGCCCGGCCTGGCTCTCAGCGGCCCTGAAAGTCATGATAGGGGAAGCAAAAGCGATACTAGCGCAAGCTGCGGATAATTCAAGTACTCTAGGGCGATATTTTGTAATTTTGGCGTATTAAATACACGTATACATTTGACTTTTTTCTTAAAAAATAGGTAAAAACAATAAAATGTGCAACCGGAGTTGCTATGTTGTAAATTGTATAAATACTAGCAAAAACTGTAAATTATATAAATTTTCAGTAGCAAAATGGAAATTACATCAAAGAAATAAATGGATAGCTGTAGATGTTTTTGGTAGAGAAAAAAGAAATTTAAAATTTGCGTTTTCCTGGTGTTTTTTTTGTGTTTGTCGACGTGTTTGAGTGAGTTTTTTTATGTTTTTGTGTTTTATAAAATTTATTTTTTTATTATTATGTATGACTGTGTCTTCTTCATATTTTTCTCTTATATCACACCTTCTGTTTGTTTTTTTTTTCCAACAAATAAACATTCTGAATTTTTTTCAAAATGTTGTCCCTCCCTATAGAATTGTTTAACGACGCCCATGCTCTGTAGGTACATCATAATTGAGCTCGTAATAATTTCTAATTCAGACAACTTTGTTGTTGGTTAAAAATTAAAGGTGACAAATTTCAGATTTGTGTTCAGAATCATCGAAAACATAAAAACCAATAAAAAGATGAATAATGTGTATTTCATTCTCCCAGATGGAAGAGGGCCGCTATAGGCTTTCCTAGGCACTGTTAGAATCATCAATCAGGATTGAGGGGAAGAGGTGGAAGAAATGGTGGTAGGTATCTAAGGGGATGTTACTGGCCCAGCATTTGGCTATGAAAAACTCATAGCACGACAGGCGACAATGGGACTCGAACCCACTGCCTTCTGAATGCGAGACAGATGCGTTACCGCAGTCACCTTTGAACTATATTATACTCTATTAGTGTAACTTGTAAGGCCCCTGAAAATAGGGAATTCCATAGTACAGAGAGTCCAACAGAATTCGACGCGTGTTTTTATGGACTTTATGTTCTATATTCATAAGAGTTAAATGTGAAGTTTTTAATTCAATTATTTTTAGTTCACAAGATTAAATAAGAACAAAGACAGAAACTCAGCGAGTTCTAAATTTTTACTTAGTACACAGACAAATTTAAATATTCAGTTCATAAGGTTAAATTTGCTTGGAGTTCTAAAGTTGAATACATTTTAAAATTCCATGGATGGTGACGTTACATTCGGGGGCATCTTAAAGGGGTCTAGTACCTTTGCCCGACACTTAGTTGGTCGACGACTCGTTTGCCCGACGCCGTTTTTCCGACAACGCATAAGCCCAGTAAGTAATGAGGAATAGAGGAATAGCATGGAAATAAACAAATCGCTGAAACATAAAATTTATATTCGCAAAACTACTGAAACGGTTGGGTTATGGTAGGTAACAGACATTTTAAGAAGTTTCAACTGTATATCATACACGCCCCAGTTTGGTACTGGTGAGAACACAAAAGTACTTCATCTTATTTATGAATGAATAACCAGCTAATCAGACGAGTCATTTATTTTAAAATTTAAATGATTATGTAGCTGAATTAACTAATTTTGTAAAAGCAGCAATAAATTCTTCTCGGTAATAATTTCCAGATATAACTCTAGTAGAGGGGTTACGTATCGAGCCGCCAATCTTCGTTTGACAGACTGGGTTTGTTATGTAATGTCTATCTCTATTCAATACGTATTGTGTCGAGTTCGCATATAAGAATCCCTGTGCTGATTCTTTTTGAGCGACTAAAAAAATATATTCTTCTCCATTTTTTGTAAAGTCGCTTGTGCTATGTTTCACCGTATGATTGGACTATTTAAGTATTTATTATTTATTAGAATAGTATCTGATCTTTTTTAGAATATTAGAACTCTAATACAATTATTATAATTTTCTGAAACATTTTATCAAATATTTCCTTACTTGAAAGTTATATAAATTCCAACACAAATTTTACGCGTAAAATTAAAATGCATCTAATGAAATTAAAAATTGCTTCAAAATTTGTTTTAGAATTTATACAGGAATATTCTGTTACAAAAAATCACACAATCTGACTTTCTAGAAAAAAGAAACTAGGCAGTGAATCTCCAAAACATGACAAATCGCCGCAGAATTCTACAAAACCTCCTGACAACCAATCTGAACCACTAAAACAACTAAACGGAAGTATTAAAAAAAGTACCGATGCATCAGCAGTGGACAGTAATTATAATAGCGTAAAAGAAATACCAAAATCTGATTTCGAAATTCCACCTCCAACTTATCAACAAACTGCAGAATGCAGAAAAGAAGAAATAGTTATTAGGACTAAGACACCCACTCACGAGAGAAGGTAAGTCGATTATGATGTAGCATGTAGTTTCGCCTATCTCTCCAGGGAAAATTCATCTCTTTAAACCAACAGCAATATCTCGAGTATATATGTACGAGAGCAAAGAAAAGATACAACGGCTAGAATTTAAAATGAAAGATGATTTATTTGCGTAAGTGGGCCATGAAAGATCTGTCCCACGCCAGGGGGGCTATTTTCAAACTCAAGAGAATTCATTTCTCTTAAGAGAAATGTCATACGTTTAGGGCTCTTAGGGCCAGTGTGAACTCACTGACTGTTTCGCTCGGTTTATTTAGAGAGAATTAAAATTCTCAAGAATTTTAATCATCGATGCCTTTAAAAACAGTGTTTTCACATTGACGTATGACATTTCTGATGAGAATCTTGAGAGAAATGAGTGCTACCATACTTTGCAAATAGGTCCCCAGAACAGAGAGAGGGACAGATCCTTCGAAAATTCCTTAAAGCCAAGTGTTATCAACTACTACGTCCTAAAACATTACCCCATTAAATCGAAAAATTATGGAAAATGTTACAGATTGCAGTTCCATAACGTCCAATTATTTTCCTTATTATGGCTTGATGATCGATTAGCTTTACCACTCTGATATTCCAAATTTCTAGTTCCGAAAGTCTCACATTATTAACAAATACTAATTAAAAGTATCTACTAGTAAACATCCGTAACATTCAGGCGTGAAAAATGTATCGTTACAGATTCACATTGTTTTGTAAAAAATGTTACTTTTAAAATATTGCAAAACACCTGCACCTGTCAATCAGTTTTGAACAAACGTTTCTAAAGGTACTATTTGGGAAAGCGAACAGACGATAGGCGACAGGCAGCAAATCAACAAGCTCTGCCATGTTAACGAACTAGTCTAAAAACCCATTTGGTTCAATAATCCAGTAACTGCGTAAATTTACCTGGAAAAATTTGCGGAAGTTTTGATATTTTGTGTATTTTGAGCTGCTTTTTCCGAATTTTCATTTTGCCACCTCGTATCTTTGCCGCTGTCGCCGCCATATTGCAATAAATTGTAAAAAAATAGATTTTTCAGGATATCTCGTTACTCGTTGCTTTTGCAGTAAAAATGGTTATGTAGTAAATTAAACTACATGATTTTTTCTACCAAATTGGTCCCTATCATTTTTTTCATAAAACCAACCGTTTTCGTGTACAAGAATTACAAAGTTGAGCAAGTACGCAGTGTGCAAAGCAATACGAATTTTATTCATTGAGCCTACCGCTCGAATCTAAAAGTTGGATAAGGATCTCATAAGCTGATTGAAACCTTGGCTTCACTAGGATTTTGTTCCTCATACACGGAAGCAACACTTTTTGAAGTTTCGGCTTTGATGCGCCCTCCTTTGGGTATTGACGGGAGTGCCTTTTCACAGTTCGTTTTTGACAATGCGGACTTTAATACTCAAACCCTGGATGGCAGAAACACTTTTCATGCCATGGGAGGCATCCATTGTATAACGCCCGCAAGTGCCATTGCTCCTGATCAGAATATTCCTCGTCTTAACAAAAATGCCGTCAGCTCAGTACGTCGAAAATTCTGGTAGCATTGCTCTACGAAGCCATGAGAAGATAAACTTTTCCAGTCTACAGGGAATTCCTCTCCGTATTATTTCTTCAGTCGCAAATACAATAATGTCGGCAACTTCAGATCTGCTGTGGCTCTGCGGGAAATGGGCTGATTTGCCCAATATACCTGGATGGAATAGATTTATGGAAGAAGTGACAGTAAACCATTCATATCAGAAATCTTTTATAGCTTGTTTGCCTTTCATTAATGCACCACCGACTAACCATCACTTTTGATCAGCCACTGTATTTTAAAGCAAAACAAATTGTCTATTCGAGTGGCATGAAAGCAAAATTGAGAAATGTCGTTATACGATTAGGTGGATTTCATTTGTTGATGTCGTTAATGGGAGCCATATGGTATACTTGAAAAGATGTTATCTGGACAGGGATTCTTATGTGCGAACTCAACACATAACGAATCAAATAGAGAGAGAGACATTACATAAGAATCGCATTCTGTGGAACGAAGATAGTTGTCACAACACGTGCCGTATTGAAAGATGAGAATCCCAATGCAGGTCATGCATACTCTCGTCCGTGCAGAGCACATGTATCCATCTCGCAAAATTGATCATGTAGGAAATTGATTTATCACCAGACCAACACGCAGGACTAGAAGCAATTCTATGCGATTTCGACAAGTCTGTAACACTGATCTGTATTATTTTACTGGATAGGATATAGGCTTTATTTAACATACTAAAAATCCGTTCCACCAAGGAGACCGGAAGTGCAACACTGCTGGCCGATTTGGGCAAATTATGGTGGGCTCACAGAACTGTATTTTGGGATAATTTGACATACCTAACCTATAATTTGATTAGTTTTTCTTCTTATTCTTCTTCTATTCTTTCTGCGGGCAATGTCCTTCGGGACAATTCACCCATAATTTGATTTTTTTATGAAAGAAAATATAAAAATGGAAACGTGAAGCATATTGTGTCTTCACGAATGAACGTTTATTGTTTATATCCTAATAATGTTATCCGATACTACCTAAATAAATAAAAAAACATCTCATCGTAATTTGTTGACACAATTAAATGACAAATGTGATGACAAATGGAAATAGAGGTTATGTTAAATAACATCCGGCCCGCCATATTATTTGCCCAAATCGGCCAATTTTTCGGAACGTTTTTTAGGGGGCTATATCCTATCCAGTAAAATAATACAGATCAGTGGTCTGTAATTCTTGGAGCAGACCAAGAAGAATGCGTCAAAGAATTAGCTTCAAAATTTGAAAATCATCTAGAAACATGGCCCAACTGCTAAATTATGGGTTTCTTACTTTCGCATGGTATCAGTTATGAAACAATTTATTGAGGTCGAAAGAAGCGGAAACTGGGACCTTCATCTTAATAGTATCCAGCAAATGTTGCCCCATTTTCATGCCAGTGGTCATTTTTTGTACGCTAAATGTGGCCATTTATATTTACAGCATAAAGGTACGTTTACATCTGACATTTATTGCATTATATTTATGTCTGACAGTTGTTTAGTCCAGTGTAAACACTCAAAAATATATGTCCGAGAGAAATTTTTGTGTGTTTACACTGGAGTAAACAACTGTCAGACATAAATCTCATGCAATAAATGTCAGATGTAAATGTACCTTAAGTATAGTTTAAGATGAATCGTACAGAATATAGGTCTTTTACGGATGGAGGGCGCTTTACAATTAAACATTCTGACAAATTTTGGTATGACACATGGTCAGACATGGTTACTAAAAAATCATTAATGCAAACGATGGAAACCGTAGGTGGACTAATTCGTGGGCAAGAAGTCCAGGAGAGCGTACTTTCTAGGTGGACTATGGGAATATCATTCTTGCACAATATTTGTGACGCGGTTGAAAAGTTTTGCAATATAGATTTTAGTACTTCGGAACAACATGTTGAATTGAGAAGTTCCCGGATTATTCGTAATAACAATAACGTAAAAAAATTAATTAATTGATTGGTTTTCACAATATTCGCCTTTCCTGCAATGAAAGAACTTAGGACAATAAGTACTGGAGTCATTTTTGCTGTAAAAGCAACTATAACAAAAATCTTGAAAAAACTTCTTTTTTTACAATTTATTAGAATATGGCGGTCACGGCGGCAAAATTACGATGTGTCAAAATAAAAAATCAAAAAGAGCAGTTAAAAATACATCAAATCGCAAAATAGCAAAACTTTCGAAAATGTTTCTAGCTAAAGGTATTATTATACAGCACGTAATTACTGGAGTACAACTGATAGGTCTTTAGCTATTGTTGTCACTATACTATTAAGGGATTAAGGCAGCACTGTCACCAACCAACGGGTCCTGGAGTCCATTTAAAAAAAAACAATTTTCTCCCTCAATAGCATAATCGAGCGGCTTTGGCAACTAGTTATATACTCATTCTAGTCTTTAGGCGATAGAAACATCGAAACAAATGCTCGGAATATTTCATAACTGATTTTGGAAAGGGGAGGAGAGAATAATAATAAGTATTAAAACAGTAACATTTGTATATTCAAAATAATTAAAAAATGACTAATAGTCTCAAGAATAAATAATCAATCTATGTTTAGGGAATAAATTTTAAAATAAATGAATATTGATAAATTAAAAGATAAAATGTAACATATATAAATTTGAGACGAAAATGTAAAAATTGGCTTTTATATGGAAATCAATTCATTATCTAAAAACAAAACCAAACAACATACAACTTGTTAAAATAAGTTAAAAATATTTACCAATAGTACACAAATCGCTGCACAAAACTTTACACATTAAGGTGTGGGACCTATAGGGTCCCGAAACGAAAGTCTTGCCTATCGGCTATAGTTTCGGACAACAGTCCTTACTCGAGTCATTTACTCCAGTCTAGTCTTTCTATTTAAACCCAAAATTTACGTGACAGTTTTACTTTTTAGTATATCAACGTACTACCTGCTTGGATAATTCTCTAGTTCAATGTAAGCCATTGACTAGAGTAATAACCTAAATGTTTGTTTTATTGCAATACGTTCGTTTTCTTTTGAATATTAAGTTAAAACAAAAAAATACTTTTTAGAATTTTTGTGAAATGCTTTATATTTTCAAATAATAATACCAATTATTACATTAGCCCAAGTGTGCTTCATTTAATTACATGTGATTCAGACTTAAGACTCACATTTCAGTCTCCTTACGCGGTCACTTGTCGCCTGTCTCCGTCTCGCGTTCCCAAATGGTACCTTAAGCGTTACGTTATTAATTTAAAATATTTATTTCAACTTTAAACGTACTTACATGAAACGCAGGTATGTAAATTCAAACCCCATGGTAATCGAATAAAAAAGTAAATTTATTTTCCGATATTTTAAATGAATTTTAATATCATTAGAGTGTCTCAATCGTTCGACTCCGGTATGACGATGACAAGAAGAAAGTCGAGCTTGAAGACGGAATCTTTGCCTGAGGAAGAGTCAGCTTGTTACAAAAGTGCTGTCCCAAATAACAGATCAACGCCTAAGAAAAAACCTGACTACGGCACCCATGTTGTATCAAAAAGTGAGCTTTGGGACACAGGTAGTCAGCATAGATGTATGAAGAGTCATCAGAAAAGCAGCAGGGTTAGCATATCCCAAGAAGAAGGTAGGAATTTTAATTACTTTTCTTTCCCATTTTTCGTGTACTATAAGTTATCAATTACGCTATACCTTCTTCTTTGTCTTAATTATTGTATCTCTTTCAGACGATTCTCATATACATCGCACAGTTTCAGAACGCAATCGCCATTCTTCTCAGCGAGACAAGCGAGACAAATCGCCCGCTAAGAAGCAACAAGACCAGCAACAGATGCCGACGAACATTTGCAATCAGCAGTGCAACAAGTTGGGCTACTTCCAAAGTACACCTAACGTGAATTCGATGAAAACAGCGGCCCATACTCCCAAAAGGGAAAAATCCATGTACAATGCAACGTCGGAAAGTGAACTTTTAGATCGGGAAATTTTACCGATTTTCCAAAAACTGCTCACGGAGCGAAATAAGAGTCAGCACAATATAGACTACTCATTCGGTAGATCGTGTCCAAATATTTCTATTAAGTGTGATATCGTTGAGTATCTTTAGAGTACATACATCCGCACCTTAAAGGTATAAGGACAAAAGGAAGGAATAAAGAAGAAGATATTTCAAGTTGCAGTAAACCATCGCATGTGTGCACCTTGTCTAATATGTATCAAATTGAATAAATATAAAGAAAAGTAACATTTACTTGATCGATGTTTCGTCTTCTTCTTAACCAGATTATCACACCAAAATGATAATCCTATACAGTATCACTAATATTGTAAATTATCAAATACTATACTATATATAGTTCAAGCAACGAATGCTCAAAAAAAGGCATGGAACACAATTTTTGACTTAAAACTTTGTTTGGATTAGTTAGGAGGTGAACATATAGAAAGTCCCCGCCCGTAGCCTTTGAGCCGGGGGGATCCCATTTTTCGGATTTTCGCTTATAGCTCGGAAATTATGCGTCCTAGCGACATGGCCACTCAGTATAAAATGCAAGCTTATTAAATTTGCTAAAAGTTTTACTTAGTCAAGTTTTTCGATACCTTGTATAGTTTTCGATAAATCTGTTCTAATTTTGGAAAAAATTTGCCTCATATATTTTGCTTTTTTTGACCGGATAACTCTTCAACGATGCACCCAAAAAATAAATGCCGACCATAGGGTTGTAGAGAATTAAATTCCCTTTACTATATATACATATATATTACTTTACTATTTTATCTATTTTCCTTCAAATGTTAAAGCAATTTCAAAATTTAGCGTGAAATCTTAAGTTTTGCGACAACTGTCGACTAATAAATCTTTCAATTTTTCACCATTCCCAGTCAACGTATTGGCCGAAATATGCACCATTATGTACTTAAAGTGACTATTGGACTTCTAAATAGCACAGATACTCATTTTAGAATATATAGTTGTGGGCCCTCTGACCAGGTTCCTCACACTTAATTAAAGATGAATATCTAGACCATTTCAATAGGAAAATATGTTGCTATGACCATGTTTCTGCATGTATGAGTGTCTTTAAATCACAACCATTAATTGAAAACAACGTTTATTGACATAGAAAAGTGAATTAACATAAAACATTACAACAGTATGTAACATTGAGTCAATTTCCTGCTCTTTTTTGTTGGGAAGGACCATCATCCACGTCTTCGTTTTCATGTCGCTAGGACGCATAGTTTCCAAGATATAAGCGAAAAACCGAAAAATGGGACCTTCAGACCCCCTCTCCTCCTCCGGCTCAAAGGCTACGGGCGGGGACTTTTGATATGTTCACCTCCTAACTAGTGCAAACAAAGTTACGAAGTCAAAAATTGTGTTCCAAACATTTCCCTCTATACCTTTTCGTTGGCTGGACTCATAGTCAATCGATGAAAAAGACACACGTTTCACAAATAGTCAATTTAAAATTTATTCAATTTTTTACCAGAAAAATTCTTTAAAACGTATGTATGAGTATAGTGTATTTCTAAATTTATTCTCACACATTTTCATAAAATACGCGTCCTAGATAAAGAGCTTTTACCCAACGATTTTCAAACAGAAATTTTTTGTAATATTACTTTTTCTTATTACCATTGAAATTAAATTAATAAATAAATATTTCACTTTTTAAAATAAGAAAAAGTAGAACTACTTCTATTGGTAATACAAATAATACTTCTGGACCTTACTTTATCCTCGTATGCTCTATTTTTTTTATTCAGTGTTTGACTATTACAAGTTTTGATATTAAAGCACAAATACTTAATAGCATAGAAGCCTCTTAATTTATGAAACAGTTGAGGTATTAAAGAGTTATGAAAATAAATCAAGAGTGTCTAGAGTGGAGACTTACAAATTTACGGAATATTACTTTTCTTTGTCAAAAAATAGATTAAAATGGATCGCGGTACATGAATTATTGTGCAAAGGCAAGAACAATATTTGCAGAACATCAACATAACTATTTGTTAAGTAAGATCAGTGAAAACTGAAGTCGGATACAAAGGATTCGAGATTCAGTAGAAAGAAAACAGATGAGTTGATGCTTGGTCGGAATTTTGGGAAAACTAAATAGTATAAAATATATATTGCTAAGATGAGGAAGTTGGATGAGCAGTGCCAAAATATGGGACAAAGATAGAAAAAACTTTGAAGTATGAAAATAGGTAATAATAAAAATAGGCGCAGTCAAGTTCGGAAAAGGATAAAATATCACCCCATCAAACAAGCAATGCATGTTGGAGAAGAAGTAAAAGAAACATGATAATGGAAAAAGGCATATATATAAGATTTATTTCTATGTTACTAAGATATTTTTTATCAAAAAAGCTCATTTATTAATAACACGTAATATATTAAACAACTATTAGACATACCAGATATATAGATCAAAGACTGAAATTTTTAGTAAACATCCCAATATATAGTTATTATGATAGTTAAGTAATCTACTAGGTAGATAAAAATATGTTTAATTAAACTTGGTATTGGCTACTATATACTATACTGTTGTGAAAAAAATATATATTCAGTTGATGTACTCGCGGAAGATTATATTGAATTGCACAATAATCTATAAAGAAACAAAGACTTCACAGTGCTAAAATATTTCTTAATCTTGTCGTTCAATATTCTTCTCCGTAGCTAAATGCGTTAAGTTTCCCATGGTATTGGGTCTATTCTGTAACAATTCCTTTATATTTAACGGCCTTTAAAAATATTTTCTTCTTTACTTCTGTCATTATTTAAACGGATCTTTAAAATACATTAGAGGACTCTCTTAAAGAAATCTGTTTAAATAATGACAGAAGTAAATTAACGAATACGAACATATTTTTATAGGCCGTCAATATTTTTAAAGGCCGTCAATATTTTTAAAGGCCGTCAATATTTTTAAAGGCCGTTAAATATAAAGGAATTGTTACAGAATAGACCCCATGTCTTTTTTTTTATAAAAAAAATAATATTATTTACCTAATCATATTTTTGGAAATATTTTTTTATTGTGCATTATTTCTTTTCTTTTTCAAATGACCAAAGAAAGAGACCTCATATTAAATAAGTACAAGTACTTAGGTGAAGCTTTTTAGCCATATCTCAATAAAATTGGTGCTAACATTTGCAAGCAGTACCAGCTTATTTTGGCTCTCAACGTTTTTTAAAATAACACGACAAAGTGATGAAACACCGAAAGTTTTTTGTATTTATTTTTATTGCTACTTATGTAATTTAGTTTTTAATAGATCATAAAATACAAAAATATTTCTAAAAATATTAACATTATAGATATATTTTAAATAATGTGTTTTGCTAAAACTTAACATACCATATGGAACATTCACTCTCTATAATGGTATACATAAAAACTTTGAAGTCAATTTTATCACACGTTGTCTTGCATTATCTTATTAGTTATTATTCCAATTTTTTAATAAAGTATGTTTTCTTTAAATAAAGAAGAAAATATTACAAACTAAATATTGGCATTGGCCAGAACTACCAAAAAAATAATTCACGTATATGTATGAAGATTTAGCAATATTTTACATTTATAAGGACCCTTCTGAAAATTAACTACAGGTTTAAAAGTTTTGATAATCATCATGTTTTTTTTTTCGTAATCGTCGACTTTAAAAAACGGATTTTTCTAAATGTTTTGACCTATTAAGTTTATATATATATTCAAGGAGGTCCTTTGCCATCAAAATCTGTGGCATTTAAAAGAAGCTTTAAACTATTTTTTTATTTGTTAATTAGTAGTTAAATCTCTGTTATATATTATAATAATTTTACTTTTTCATCTTCATTTATTGCAACGAATTAAACACTGCCAAAATTTATCAGTTAAAACCATCTTTTAAAATTATTTAAATGTCCTATTTTATGGTTAAGTATTTTTAATTGGATAGATAGCTAAATTCTGTTTCATCTTGACTTTTAACGTTAGGGATTGTTTTTTTTTTGTAATTAATATTTTCATCTTGACTTTTAACTTTAAATATGAATATAAATCTGGACACTACATGGACACTATCCTATTTCAGTCATTCTCAATAGTTTCTAGTTAAAGCAGTACTTCGATCCTTACGTTATAAATATAGGAACATACCTATTTAAACAGTTTTCTTGCCCACTCCTATCATACATATAGGTAGTGAATAAAGGTACTTCCGATAATTTGAAAATTATTACCATTGTTTTAGATATACATATATAATATTTTATTACTTACAAAGAAAGCAAACTTATAAAAATGTGCACTTTACATTTGTAAAGAAAATTTAGCTCATAAAATATGTGTGGATAATAAATAAAATAACAAGTAATTAAAATTCTCGAGAATGCAGCATATGCTGGACAACTATGAACTAATATAAAATAATAATAATAATACATTAATAATAATAATTATTATTATTATTAAACTTACCAACATCATAGAAAAGAAAATTTGGTGAAAATATCTGTGGATATAATAAATAACAAGTAAATAATAGATTCAGCAGCAATTAAAATTAAAACTAATGAACTAATATAAAATGTTAACACAAATTATTATCAAACTGACCTTTTTACAGGATGTACATAAGCCATCCTATACCAATTAGTAATCTTAAATTTTCCTTTTTTACACATAGGTATTTGACCATTGGCCGGTCATCACTACTTATTTAAAATATGAAAATGTACATACCTACCTATTGAATTTCAAAACACATTCAAAATGGCTACTGAAGAAAAAATAAATGAAAAATAGAACTGGAAACGGGTGCCTTGTTTTTTCAAATTAAATATATTTGGAGGGGAACCACTGAAAACCACTACTATTGGCCAAAGCTCCACAACACTTGCCGTGTGCTTAAAACACAAAAATCACAAAATACGATCTTTATAAAAGTATAAGGCACAGATGCCTGAATGTGTATAATCTCCATGTAATTTCTGAAAACGAGAGAGAGACCTTCTTTAACAAAAATAATCTATTTTATTATTAAAATGTTGAGAATGATTGAAAGAAAATATGTTCACATGCTTATTTTTTATCTCATCTGAGATTGTTTCAGAACATACTTTAAACTAAGTAAATATATAGGTAATAGGTATATATTATTTTTAAATGTCCACTTGTAAATATTTTTTATCACCTTCAGAAATATGATGTGTATATACAATCTTTAAAAGAACTTTATTAAGACAATTTAAATGTGCTTTTCTAGAAAACTATTGAAAATCTGGTATTCATAATGAAGTCCATCATTTTGTTTACATGTTATATTGGATAGTTTAAAAACTGTTTTGGTACCTGTAACATTACAAAAAATAGTTATATGTGTTGTGAAACCTTAAACAAATTTTAGATTATTGTTATCAATAAATTCATACCCAGAATTATATCTTATGTAGTTTAATTTCATTATTTTTTTTAATACTTGACTATTTTAGTTTAGTTGATTACTCCTAACTCCTACATGTAAATATAACCTGTCTGTTTGGTATTATTAAGTCCTCTAACTTCTGAGTTAATAATGCATGAAAACCTGTTGATTTATTCCTCCACTCCCAACCTCTACTCTAATTATGATTTCCTGTTCCCCATTGAATTAAAAGAATCAACACTATAAAACATTTGATGCCCCAAAAGGTTCTATAATCTATAACGATCCGAATAGATTATCGATTTTGATCGTAAAACTCAAGAGAATGCCAGTGAAGTCGTGAACGTCATCGCTAAAAACGCAACTTTAGTAAGATTTACAAGTAATTTTATATTGAAAATGTAAATTGCTCATTTTCTATCCTATTCTACGACTTTTCTATAGTTTTAATAAAATATACCTACTACATATAAATAAAATATATATTTAATATTTAAAACAAATATATTACATTACATAATTAAAATAAAAAATATCGAACTTTTCTTTTACATAAATACCTTAAAACAAATATTTATTTTAAACTCCTTCTGCTGTTTTCCTCATTTGTGCATTTATATCTTCTTGTTTCTTTTTTGGTATGACTAGAGGTTTTAGTAAATGGTTTCCAAAATGCAAAACTACAGCAGCACCAACTAAAATCCCCACAAAACCAGCTTTTTTTGAAAACTGTAAAGCCATATTATTTATAAATTTATTTTTCAAATACTGTATTCTTTTGTTTTAGAATAACTATGTTAATCTGTAAATTTTGCTATATTGTAATAAATAATTCAAAATTCCATAATATACCAATATTTTGATTAGAACATCATAACCTAACCTAATTCCTAATTTTTAAAAAAAAGTTAGGCATTCCAACGACCTGTCAAACAATAGGTGCCAGTGGGAAATTCTTGTATATTTAAGGGGGTAGCGACATAGTCTTGCAACTTGGAGGCTATTTTTATTCGAAGTAGTACTCGCCAAGCCTGCCAATTTATGAAGAAATGTATAGGTGGGTTTTTTAAATATTATTTTTATTGTGTTTGACATAAAATATTTAAATGTAATCCATTATTCATGATTTTACGTAATGTAGATAGAATACACCATATGTCGCTACCCTTAGATATACCAAACCTGCCCACTGGTAATTCATTTGTTTGGAATGCCTAATAGTGTCACTGTCACATCACAGATCATAGAACATGTCAAATATCCCTACTGTCACAATAACAGCATTTTTTTTTTTTGAGTTAGCAATGTAATAAATGAATGACGTTATTTTTAAAATTACTTAAAAATCTTATATTGGTAACCGTTTGTTAACTTTTTTATTCCATACTGACCCCAATATGAAATATGTTTTTATTGTTTTCCAAAAGAAATTATAAAAAAATGATATAAATAAAAAAATAACTACTCAGAAAAGGTAACTTTGGAAAATGGCTGGAATGTTAAGAAGAGTCTAGTGTTCTGTGGTGTGGTTAAGAATTTCATTTTTTTAATGTTGTTAGCACTGTCCTGTCAATATAATATGGCCGCCAAATTTATCAGTTCTGCTATATCATCTTTCAGAAATATTTAGCCGAAAATAGCGAACAGTGGGCAAGAAGTACACTCGAGACAGTGTTATTTACTTTATTTAAGACTGTTTTATTAATTTTAAAGAAGTAAAATGAAGGTGACACTAAAAAATCTTCAGCAGCAAACATTTATTGTAGACATAGAACCGACAAAAACGGTATTGTAATTTTTAAGATAACACTCACATTTTTCTACTAATTTCGGAATATTTTAGGTCAAACAATTAAAACAAAAAATCGAATCAGAAAAGGGGAAAGACTACCCTTCGGAAAATCAGAGACTGATATATGCAGGTTAGTTTTGGCATAGATAATTCTTTAACCGAGTTACATCTACCTAATACTTTTTTTCAGGCAAAATACTTACAGATGAAACTGTTTTGTCGGAATATAATATTGATGAAAAAAAATTTATAGTTGTAATGGTAACAAAACCTAAACAGCCAGAAAAAACTGAAGGTGGAGATGGTAATACTTCTTCAAGGTATAATAAATACTTACTTGAGCAGTAACTGAAAATTGGGTGTAATTAATTTTTTTTAGTACCCCAGCTAGTCCTCCCCCACAACAAACTACGACACCTGCAACCCCTGTAGTGGCAGTAGAAGAATCGACTACGACTGCAAATCAAGCTGTCTCAGATGCACCAGCCACTATTAGTAGTGTTGCAGAATCTGCTTTATTAATGGGAGAGGAGTATGAAACAATGGTGCGAAACATCATGGACATGGGATATGCAAGAGATCAAGTTGAACAAGCACTCAGAGCCAGTTTTAACAATCCTGATAGGGCAGTAGAATATTTGATTAATGGAATACCTTTATTGGATGATCAAGAAGCTGTAAGTATCCATATATCACTGTACTCGCTCTATGCTTTTAGTCACAACTCTTTATCTTTAGGTATTTATTATTGAACATCAACAGTTTTGTGAGATCTATTTGCAGATGATACCTTTATTGCATGTAGTGATTCAAACTTAGAAAGTGCCGTTCAAAAAATGAATGATGTCTTAAAAACTCTTAGTAAATATTTATTAATTAATAAATTAAAACTAAATGTCGAAAAAAGCAATGCAGTGATATTTACATCTAAATACAAATATAATTTACTAAATTTAAATAATGTAAATTTATCTATTAACAATGAAAGAATAGAAATTGTTACATCAGTTAAGTACTTGTGGTTTTACTTAGATAATTCTTTAAACTTTGATGTTCACTTTGATTATATTTACAAAAAAATATTAAAAAAACTTTATTTTTTTAGCAGAATAGCACAAAATTTATCAGTTAACACAAGAATTACTGTTTACAATATGATCATTCAACCTCATTTTGATTATTTTGCATCTATTTTGTACTTACTAAAACTCAATAAACTAAACAAGCTTGAAAAACTTCAGAACCGTGGTATGAGGATAATCTTAAGAACTAATAGATTTACTCCTATAAGAAATATGTTATATTCTCTTAAATGGTTTTCAGTAAAAGATAGGTTATTTTTTTTACATTATTTTGGTTTATAAAATTGTAAATCAGATAGCTCCAAAATATTTACAACAATACATCACATTTAACAAAGATGTTCATTCACACAACACAAGAAATGTTAATAATATATATATTTCACGAACTTGTTATAAAAGTACTATGTATTCATTATTTTTTAAAGTTTTCTCAGATTTTAACAACTTACCCATAGATGTGAAAGATTCACATTCTCTCAATGTATTTAAAAGAAAGATCAAAGAATTGTTAATGAATACCAGATAGAGGTAGCTAATATAACAATAGTTTTGTTGTGTTGTATTATGTTTCGTACTCATTTATTGTAAATTTATGTAATTTCTTTTTTATGCTTTTGAAGTCGATTGTTTTACTGTGTTGAATTTAATTATTATTTTTTTTATTTCTTACTTAAATAATAACTGCCATTTTTAGCAATTGTACATTGTATTTATATATATATATATTTTTTTATTATGCTTTGTAATTTGTGTTTTATATGTATATTAGGGGGTCTTAATTATTAAATAAATGATTATTATTAGATATAACAGTAAAATAGTTTTCGGATAAATCCGCCAACGGTCGAACGGGCAATTTTTTTTTTTTAAACTATTTTAGACCTTCTGAAACACATTTCAAAATACTTTTTTGCCCTGCAAACGCTATAAAATATTTTTTCTTACCTTAAAACTATTAAAATGTGTCCTCAAATTTCGATGTTGAAAAAATTTGAACTACATCATTTTGATTGATTTCTTGTTATAGAAACTGCTAAATAATAATACTAGACCATCCATAATGCAATAAACCATCCAAATTTTTTCGTAAACAGTTTATTTTCTTAATTTAAGCCCATGTTTAGGTTCGTCGGAATTTTAAACACTATGACAATTAACATTTGCAGTGTTACATGTGTCTAAAAGAAATACAATGTTGCCATATCAATTATCTATTACATAGCAATGGTAATTTTTACCTATGCCCAAATTTTTTTAACTCATACCTGGCTACGCCGACCGGCATAGACTCCAACGGCCTGGACACAGCTCAAATTGAAAAAACCTAACCAACCCTCATTAGCGTCTGGCCAGTGAACCTCGATCCTAACTTTTAACGAACGTGTCTTGTATTGTGGGCATCTAATAATATGAAAATATACAATAAGAAAATGAAGCAACGACTTCTTGTAGGGTGGTGGCTTCGCCGTCACCAGAAAATTTTAACCCGTACCTGGCTACGCCGACCGGCATAGACTTCAACGGCCTGGACACAGCTTAAATTGAAAAAACCTAACCTAACCAACCCTCATTAGCGTCTGGCCAGTGAACCTCGGTCCCAACTTTTAACGAACGTGTCTTGTATCGTGGGCATCTAATAATATGAAAATATACAATAAGAAAATGATGCAACGACTTCTTGTAGGGTGGCGGCCTCGCCGCCACCAAAAATTTTTAACCCATACGTGGCTACGCCGACTGGCATAGACTCCAACGGCCTGGACACAGCTCAAATTGAAAAAAGTATTTTTTACAAATATTAGATAAGTACCGACATGCCGTAATTAACGTACAATCATCATGAAATGAAATAAAAAAAAACAGTTGTCTGTGATTACTACAAATGTGTTCACTTCGAGATCCAAATTTACCTGCTGGTCAGACACTATGTAATTTTTCAGCAAACTTTTATTAACCGAATTATTTCCTGACTTATATGTTTTCTTACCTGATTTGGGGCAACACCGCATTTATAGAAACTAGACACGTCAATTGTCATTGAAAATAATTTACTGTGTATTTGTTTTTCTAACAAACTAAAAATGAAAAATAAGAAAATTTGATGGTTTATGAAAAAATTGGTACAGTTTATTGCTCTATGAATGGTCTAATATTGATATTTAGCCGTTTCTACAACAAGAAATTAGTGAAAATGGTTTATTTCACATTTGCTTTATGATGGAGACCCGACAACAAATATTAAGGATTTTAAGGTAAGTGTTAGCGGACCCAAAATTGTTATGTATAGTGTGTTTCAAAGTGTCTAGAAACTCTTTATAACATTTAAATAGTTATATCCGCCGTTCGAGTGTCGGCGTATAATAGCTAGTTTTCTTTTTTGAATACACAAATTGTATTAATGTATGATTTTCCAGTGTAATTTACAATCTCTTAATAATTGCACCGTTGTATGAAGATTATATAGTAGGATAATGCAACAGTAAAAAGTGTTGGATGCAATCTCGAGCGGCATCTAGTGACGATTTAATGAAGTAGTCAATTTTTAATGCTATGCAGATACGCCATCTATGTCTTCTTTTCGTTCAGGCACATGGCCTCTATCACCTACCTATTATAGTTAAAAACCTCTTTATTTATTTAAAAATAACAATTTATGATAAAAGACATGAAAAATTAAACATAATAATGAAAATTTATTCCAGTTGACAAAACCGTACGAATAAAATTTTTGGATTAAGGTGATAAAAAGTGGTTAAGGACTTTGGTCAATATTTTGGTTATGTGCGGTTATGTCAAAATATATAAACAATAACAAAGAATACCTAATAACAACTTATAACAATGTCCAATGTTTTAAATAAATTGAAAAGTTCCAAGTAGAAAACAAAAAAGGAATAAGCTTCTGAAAATGTTGCATGTAATCTAAGTACTTCTAATTGGACTAAGTGTTGGAAAAGTTTATAACCATAAAAATAGCTGAATATTTTTATAGTTTTCAAAATTTGAACAAGCTTTGCTACAAAATTTCATCAAACCTATCAACAGTTTGCAAGATATTGAGTTAAGGAACAAGAAAATCACACTAATCAGGGAAAAATCAATCAACACTGGAAAACAAATTAAAAAAAAATAGTCACAGGGATATATTAGCGACTTTCAAATGTATCTTGGCTGTTGATCATGAATATAAGAAAAAAATGTTCTCTCGGCTGGCTCTGAGTGTTGAAATAAATCACCTTGAAAGGAAGTTTTCAATAGCTCCACTCTTTAGGAATAGCTCAAGACGAAATCAATAGACCTACAAGTGGTCTATCTGTGGCAGACATATTCAGTTAGTCTTTATATTTCATTATGCAATGTTACAAGGTTCAGCAACTTGCCAAAATGGTTAAAATTTATTTCCAAAATCAGTGCTCTTATTTAGTACAGAATTCTATGAATGACACAATAATTATAAAGTCCTAACTTTGAACATAAAAGAAAATCTTATAAAAAAACATTTTTTTTTATATAATTTATCACTGTTTGGAAAAGTATATTTGTTTGTAAAATATTTGTGTTTACAGTTATATTTAATCCAGGTTAAGTGTCAGTGCACGAGTATAATGTTAAGTATGAACAAAATCCGCCCATTCTGTTTATATGTTTGGTTACCGACCCTAGTAGATAGGCTATTTGTTATTACTTTTAATTTAGATTTTGGATTAACGTTTTTGTATATGACATGGCTGTTTAGTAATAAATGAAGTCAAAACTGTAACACATGGTTTTATTCTGGAAAGTATTTTTAAATTGAATCACGCACGCCGTTCAAGTGAAAATGTTTTAAGTAGTTCAAAACAACAATCACTCTTTTTCATTGTTTATAGAATACAGCCTTTCAGTTAGCTCAGACAAAACTGATTAAATAAATAAATTAATGTCTTATTATTTTTTGAATTTTTTTTTATTTTGACTGGTTGACTATCTCAAAAATTAAAGCCAATCAAGCAAAACGTGAGTCACATTTCGCTTTTTTAGAAGAACAATAATGCAAATGAAAATTAATGATTCCACAGAAATAGCAAATTAAAGAAAATGTAATATAAAACTTACAACTAAGACGTTAAAGAAAAGTTTGGAAATAATCGATGGGGACTTCGAGATAGCAAATTCATTTTAGTTTTAGACAGAACTACTTTATTTTATTCGTTTTGAAACAATTGAAGATTTATAGGCTGGAAAAGCGATTTTAAACTGAATATTCAGTCCAATAGGCTCTCGACTGAAATCCTTTCCATTTTTAGAATATTGTCTTTCAAATTCAACAATTTTATGTTTTGTTCCAACACGGATTTTAATAATAGATTTATAAATTGTTTTTGTTTATTTGAATGTTAAAAGTTCTTAAAACTAACTTTAACATATATTTCCCATGCTGGCGCTTAGTGTTAAAATAATGAGACGATTAAACAAAAAAGTCTTACGAGAGCCAGTTGCCCTCTTTTGGTACACATTTGTACAAGGCAACTTTACAAATGTTTCCTCCTTTTTTCTCTTGTAGAAGATGAACACGCTGTGGAGCGCACAATGATGGTATTTTAAAAAGCCACGTCACATATTTGATTAGATAATTAACTTGATATAAGTGCCTTCAAGACTTAAGTCGTTAAGCATTCAAGTTTGGATTTCCCAACCCAGATTCAATTACATATAAAAACATTCTTTCTTATTTTGGAAAAAATATGAAAAATATAATTAATGCAATCTTTCTGCTAAATTTTGTAGTATTTTGATAACAGTTCAGAAAAAAATAGTAGTAGTCAGTAACTGATCTTTACGAAACCCAAAGTTGAGCACTTAACGTCCTGAGCAATGAAAGTTTATGTCAATGTTAATTATCTAATCAAATATGTAACATTCGCATTTTCTATAATTTATAATTTATTTTTTAAGACGCCTTCGTTGAGAGCTTCATCATTGTAGGACATAGGACATGCAGCAAAGTATTTCCATGTACAAAAAAAAAAACAATGAAAAATTTTTAATTTTGCCTTTCGAAAATAATACTCCTAAATGTGCCTACCATAAATTGGTACTCGATTCGTTTTCAAATGGTGTCAAAAGTTACTTAGTATAATTTCACTAAACGTGTTTGGTATTATGTTATAAGTTTACCTAACAGCAAAAAAATCTGTTAGTTAAATTTTGTCAGTGCCGATTTTAGTAAAATTATATTGAATAATAAAATTATAACTACCTACCTATATATAGGTATTTACCCATTATTACTTTTTTTAATTTTCAACTTAACATCCTGTATTTCAGAACATTTTATCCAAACATTTTTTATTTTCGTCTATTCGTCTCATTTTGAACAATAATATTCAGTTGTTCATGTCCTATTCTTAATTTGATGATACCATTAAATAAAAGTGAATATAAATTAACAGCGTACAACTCAAGTTTAATTAACCATCAGCGATATATCCAAAATCCAACCACAATATAGAAAAAAATGTTCCCTATTATAGTAAAATTCCACCCAATCTCAACTAATTCAATCTTTTTCAAACAAAAACTGGTTTATTTTATTATATCGATTATTTTCGCATTTTATGTGACCTTCAAATACCCTGTATTCTGTGCTTTTGTAATAATTTGAAATAGTAAATTGTAACTATAAAAATACATTACCGAAGACAAGTAGAAATGAAAAAGAAGATTTTAAATTATAATTCATACTCAAGCACAGACATGACCTAAAGACCTGACTTGGACATAAGTACAGTATCGCCATCTACATTCTATGTCCATCGTCCTCCAATGATAAGTCCATAAGGTTACCCTACTATATTTATTCATACAACGATTGCACTGCTTAAGTGAATTGGGAAAAGATCCAACAACATCTAAACAAATTTAAAAAGTATTATCTAAGAAAATATTCTTGATAAACATTGTATCTATTTAAGTTGGCTAGATATGTATTTTAGTATTATATGCTTCATCCTTCATAACTGATGTGAATTTCTGAAGGACAATATATAGACATAGCACTTTATTAATCAATTTACAATTCGTTAGGTAAATGAGACTGCCGACTTATCCGGCGTAGATGAAAGACAATCTGACACAGATGATCCATTGGCATTTTTAAGGACTCAGCCACAATTCCAACAGATGAGACAAGTCATCCAACAAAATCCACAGCTTTTAAATGCTGTATTGCAACAAATCGGACAGACTAATCCTGCTTTGTTGCAATTGATCTCTCAAAATCAGGAATCGTTTGTTAGAATGCTCAATGAACCAGCAGGAGGAGGAGGTGGAGCTCAAACTCCAGGTAGTGGAGCAGCTCTCTCAACCGGTAAGTTCTTAAAATGATTGTATTATTTTTGAAGAATATAATATTGGTAATGGTAGATAACCTTTGTTCTGAACCAACTTAGTCAAGAGTTTTAAAATCATTGTTTTTATTTCTGTTTATAATGTTCCAGAATACCCAACAAAATATTAGTCAAGTTAAATAAGTAGAATCTTTTTATGTTCATATTGAAAAATAAATATATTTGTTTATACAGGGTATTAGTATATTCGACTGACAACTCTCTATTTCAAAGAGCTTTCATTAATTGATGACTTTTGGTATCAAAAACGCACTTACATATTTTTTCAAATTTGGTGACCAATCATAGAAATAATAGGTTTGTTTGGGGAGACAGTTTCCAATGGTTGGTGATTTTTTTATGATGCGCATGAGTGATTTCTGCGAATGTATTTTGTACTGTTTTGGATTCTTCTCTACCTATTTTTGTAAGTTAGGCCCGTATTTATAAACAGATCTCAGCCAAGTCCGACTCAACTGAGTCGTCCTTGTACGAAAATTGAAGTTCGGTTATATCGCGTGAATTTAGAGATGGGTAGTACCAAATCCGTAAATATATTTAACAGTTACAGATTTGATACTATCCATCTCTAAATTCCAGTGTAACACCGGAACCACCTGGAACTTTAGAGAAGTTGTAACCGAACTTTGATTTTCGTTCAAGGATGACTCACCCAAGTCCGACTCGGCTGAGTTCTGTCTATAAATACGGACCTTAGATACAGATTTAGTGAACGGCCAAAAAAAAATAAGAAATTACTTGAAGTTTGATCTTATATGCAGATGTATGTGTCACAGAATAAGCAAGTATGTGTTTTGTTTGTAGTTTTACTAGATATATAAAAAAATCCAAAGTCAAATAGAAATATTTATCACAAAGAACACAAACATCGAACACTAAAAAACGACTAATCAAATCTACATACGTTAGGATCATCAACTAATAATAATAATAATAATAAATCTTTATTGGTCCTTTTTGAGCACTATACAATGATGTAGGATATGTCAAGATACATATAGTGGACAAAAACACAATTTAAAATCTACATTTAAATATACATATACTTACATACACATATACACACACATGCATATACATACACACACACACATATACATATACAGTGTGTCTACTTAAGTTGGAACCATATGGAAACATTTTTATTATTGATTTTAGGAAAAAAAGTTATTCTTGATAAAAAGTCCTGCATGACCCAAAACCTAAAATACAGTCATCACATATCAAATTTTTCAAGCCGTATACGAGGTTTGTCAAAAAATATGAATTTTGCTCAAGAGTAAAGTACGTTTATTTTTGACAAAATCGAAAATTTTCATTAAGAAAAGTTGATTAGAATTGAATATTACATTCAAATATGCAATTACACCGATCTATCTGAAAAACAGATTTTCTTATTTTTTATAAACTCTACACATGATTGTAAATATCTGAAAACGTTATAAATTACGTTAGCTACTACATGATACGCTTTCCTTTTGTTGATGTTTGTGAAGAATTTTGCAAATTTCTTAATGAAAATTTTCGATTTTGTAAAAAAAAATAAACGTACTTTACTCTTGAGCAAAATTCATATTTTTTGACAAACCTCGTATACGGCTTGAAAAATTTGATATCTGATGACTGTATTTTAAGTTTTCGGTCATGCAGGACTTTTTATCAAGAATAACTTTTTTTTCTAAAATCAATAATAAAAATGTTTTTCATAGAATAGAATTTTTATTTTATTTGAATAGAATTTTATTTGTCATAAGTATTATACATAGAAAACAAAACACAATTTTTTAATGTATAAGTACTAACAGACTAGTCAATTTAAAATTAAAACAATATAATACAGATTAATTGCAATACATGCACTTAAACTAACACAATAATATATTAGAGATAACAATTAAGGATTAAAATTAAGGAATTCCTCCACACTGTAAAATACATTTTTTGCTAAAAATACTTTAAGTTTATTCTTAAACTGTTTTATTTTGTCTATTTCGGGACTATTATTTTTATCTATTATGCTACTGAATTTATATGGTTCCAACTTAAGTAGACACACTGTATATTACGTTACCTAGTAATAATCCTTAATATTATATAAACATTTTGTTACTAAAAATTTTTTTAGTGAGTGAGTATGTGATATTTAATAAAATGATTCCTGCATGTTTGTCTTGATTCTAGATTGAAGATAGGTCTAATTGCTCTTTTTTGTGCAATAAATACTCTTGTAGCAGCAGGAGAATTTCCCCAGAGTGTAATATTGTATGATATGTGTGAATATACAATTGCATAATATACCTGTAGAATTTGGTTAAATGTAAATATCTTTTTTAATTGAAGTAGAGCATAACAACCGCTATTAACCTTTTTACAGCTCATATATCACTATCTTGCAATACACCAGAAATTTTGTTTTCTGCAACAAGTTGACATCATTGCAATTAACCTTTACACATTTATTATCATTAATTATATTCCTTGAAAAAAAACTGAAGAACAACCTTTTTATCAGAATTTAAGATTAAAGAATTTTTATTGCGCCAAGTTGAACAATCTGAAGCTACTAAGTGAAGCTTCTGCTGCAGCTCATCTGGAGAAGTTGCATGAGATGCTAAAGTTGTATCGTCGGCATAGAGTATGGTATAATCTGCACACACATGTTGAGGAAGATCATTTACATATAAGAAAAATATTAGTGGTCCTAAAAATGAACCTTGTGGTACTCCTCGGGTTAGACTTTTCAATTCTGATTTACAGTTACCCACTTTTACACATATCTGACGTGAATCTAAATAAGAACTTAGCCATTTTAAAATTATGCCCCTGAACCCTAATGCCTGTAATTTATTTTGAACAATGGATATGTCAGTTGTGTCAAAAGCTTTGGACAAGTCAAAGAAGAGTGCACCAACATACTGCCCCCTATCTAGCTGTCGATATATATAGTTCAAGAAAGCAGTAGTTGCACTGTCCGTTGACCTGTCTGGAAGAAAACCATGTTGATGTTCAGTTAGGATATTAATTTTTTTAGAAAAGAACATTTTGTTGAGCTACACATTTCTCAAAAACTTTACATATTATAGTGGGGATTGTAATATAGCTTGCTTGAACCGTCCAGATTTTTCTTGAAAGGGAATACATTTCTATTATCTTCTTCTTTTACTCGTACTTTTACTTATGAAGACCACAGCATACTGTAGGGTGATGGACATTACACTTCTTTTTTTATTCGTACATTTCCTATAATATCTGCAGGCTGGTGCAGAGTAACAATATTAAAGACATGTTTACCACGAGATCACGTAGATTTAATATTGGCTTGGCAACACCCCTCAAATTGGGAGTTCCAATGCTATATAACGCACGGAACATAAACAAGACAAGAAGGGTCACTTGGCGTCGATACTTTGAAGTGTGGCCTACAGAAGCGAGCCGCTGCATTTGGAGTAATCAAGTCGAGGCGTGTTGTCTCGTTTATTTATGGGGGCACTTTGATGAGCGACGTCCAAGTTACTTCTCAAGAGACTGATAGGGGGGTTAATATAAATGAATTTTAGTATCAATAGAATTTAAGTGCTCAACATATTTTTTTCTTTTTGTTAAAATAAGACAATGAATGTTATTAGTTCCTTTGAATATAAAATAAAAACATAAAGTATTTTAAACATCAAAACTGATTATTTAAAAAATTATTGTTTCCACTTTTTAAAAAAATACAATAGGTATATTTAATATTTTATACGTAGGTATCCTAATATAATACATTTTCTCAATATTATTTTAATATATTATAAAGCAAACCATCTATTACTCTCACTTTGGTCCTGGGACACAACGGGGCAAAGGGCAACGAGATTGCAGATAGGCTCACAAGGAAAGGGGCTCAAACACCCTTTGTGGGACCTGAGCCGTTCTGTAGTATCAGCAGCAAAACAATTATAGGAGAAATTAAAAAAGGATTGGGCAGTAAAAGAACCGATAATTATGTATATTTTAATAACATTTACCTTTTTCAGTATGAATAGATGCGTCTTTGTGGGCTTTGACATCATCTAAATTATTAAAATAGGTGTAAAGATTAATCTATCTACAATAATACAACCTTTTTTTTTTTTAATGGAAAAATTTGGCATGTTTCTAATTTTAAAATGCTTCCAGCAATTATAAAACTAAATTATCAGATATTCAGCATGCTAAAAATTAGGAAATCTAGCTTAAATAAGCAACCATATTTCAAAAATGAAATTAACAGACACACTGATCTTTTGGGAGTTAGTCGGTTTAGGTTTAAAAAATCAGCTGAGGGAGTACTTATCCTAAGTTTTTTGTGATATTTAAGTTTTTTTTTTTTTTGTGATACTTTAAGTAAGGTTTTGCTTATATCGAAAGTAGCAAAACCGGACGACAAAATATGGTTGTAAAGTTATGTTTTATTGTTATAGACATCTAGAAGCAAATTATTTTATTGCCAGCAGCAATTTGCTTCTAAACAAAAGTCTGTATGTACTTAGATAATTTGTAATGACTCAGTATTTCTAAATTCAAATCTAGTAAGCACGTGGCAAATTTTGATTTAAAACTTTTAACATCCTGTATCTCTGTAACTAAACTCTTTAAGGGCTCATGTTCCTAATTCATCAATTAATGAGAGCTCTCTGTGGTAGAGAGCTGTCGGTGAAATATACTAACACCCTGTATATTCACTTGATTTTTTTGTGCTTTCCCCCATGGGAGTTTAAGGAAGTGATTTTAAAAATATTAAAACTATTGTACTGCTTAATTATATATAGAACACTTTTCCTGAATAAATCTTATATTATTAATAATAATCTATTTGCCAAGTTGAATTTCCAGAAATTCTTCAAAACCAAAATTTTAAATATATGTTTATATTTTCTACATCTGGACATTGAACTTCCTTTGGATGCGCTCCAAAATGTTTTATGCATCTGTACAATGTTTTGAAGGAAATCAAAATAAATAATATAAATACATATATTTAGCATATTAATATTTTTTAATTATTGAAAGATATATGCAAAATTTAAGTTCACAATTCACCTGTTTATAATAGTAATTCCCATGTGCCTTGGTCTAAAGCTAGGAGAAGAAATGGTGAAAGAGACATTGAAGTATATATCTCTTTGTTCTTCTCCTGTTATTTATCAGGTTGCCATGTGTTTTAATTAAATTCTAAGCTTTCATTAATTGTTTTGCGGATTCTATATATTATTAAAAAAATGTGTAATGAATATTTAGTATATAATTTTTACTTTCTTGTCTTCTATGCAAATTAAATCACTAAGTACTTTTTAGGAGGTGCACAGGCAGCTGCTGGTGGCCCCCCTCAAGGTATGATTCAAGTCACCCCACAAGACAAAGACGCCATCGAAAGGTTGAAAGCGCTAGGATTCCCTGAACACTTAGTGGTGCAGGCCTATTTCGCTTGCGAGAAAAATGAGAATATGGCTGCTAATTTCCTACTCTCACAAAATTTTGATGAATAATATTTATGCTACCAATCTTACTAAGTCTTTTGTTTCTATTTTAAAAGCTCCCCATCCACCCCGTTTGTTATTCACAATTTTCGGTTTACTAGTGGATGGCCAGCCTTATGTTTATTTTTTTTTGTAATATCACATTAAAGAATTTTTGAGTTTTGAGGTTGTATTGTACTTGTATCTTGCTGTAAATAGGCTGAAAATAAAATGAAATAGTAAAAAATGCTTTGAAATTTTTTTAAAAGGTAATCTGTAATTTACAAATGTAATATACTAGTGATTTTCTTCGGAAAAAATAATTTTTCGGGTTATTTATTGTAATGGTTTACTTATTTTTTCTAGCTGCCACAATGTTATACTTTACAATATCTAGAAAATATATTTAACAGTGCAATGTTTTTTATTGTCTATTTTTCTAATCCCTCCCCAATTTTTAAAATGATGCGTCAGTTGACTTTTTTAAATTCCTAATGCGCTAGTTCGGTGTGATGCACGTGTGATGTCATTTTGGTTCCACTGACATTTAATTCTAACCAAACTTTTAACAAAAACGTCAATAAATTTGACGTATACGTTTTTAAAGTTTTTAGTTTATTTCTAAATATTTTTTACAGATCATAAAAAATAGTTTAAAGGTATGTAATTGGTAACTAAACGATTGTATATTTGATGCATGTTATCTACTTTAGGAATATATTTATAAAATTGAAGAAACGATATAATTTAGGTAAACAAAACGAACAAAATGCACTCAAAAAATCTACTGTCAGTTTAATTGTCAGTGGAACCATAATTACATCATCACTGAACTAGCGCATAGCGTACTGATAAAGGTGGGCAGCGAGTAGTAATAAAGGTTTTCAACAAATATATTTTATCCACCCTCAAATTAACCACATTGAATGGTTACTTCGATGGATTATTTTTGACTGACGTACACTACCCTTTTAACTTGAAACTCAATTGTGTTTGCGATGGGGTTTCGCCCCTGTACATTCATCCGCTAAAGCCTTTATTGCTGAACTGTATTTTCACCTTAAAAAACTTATCCATAATAATGAAACGGTAATAAAAAGTACATCCTTTTATTCACCTACTGAAAGGAGTGACGATACATTTTATATACATATGTACACTGAAATGAAAATGACACATTTACAGAAAACATTAATACATGCTTGTATTATTGTCACTATATCTCTGAGCTAGGCCAATAGATTGGTGCACATTGCTTTAGTAGTATCAATGTGTTCTCGTCCGTGTTTGAAGAGTTAAGTATAATTTATTGTATTTTAGGTACTTTATATAATCTTTAATTGACAATATATTTATGGTTTTCTCTAGTTCTCGCATCCATTTTTTATACCAATAGCTTAACTATTTTCATAATTCTTTCATTTAGTAAACTAAACTACTTTTGCTATTATTATTACATATTTTACTCATTAAAATTTGTTAATTGTTTTTACAATCAAATTATTTTATTTTTTATAAAAAATTAACTAAATTTTTCTGTCTGGTTGATTCAGTGTGCTAATTTATTTACAATAAAGCTGGGTAACTTAGTAAACTGTCCTACATGATAGAGCCCCAAAAAAAGGAACAAGATTTAAAATAAAAATGCATATTATATTCTAATATTCAACTAATAGCTCTGGCTGCTGTTCCGCATAACAATATATTTACAGATTTCAGAGAATAAATGGGGAAATTTTACACTTTTCCTCAAATTTTTCCATTACGGTCCATTTTAGAGAAACCATGTATGGACTAAAAATTATAGAGAATGATATCCCAAACAACTTTTATTTGAACAATTACCCTAAAAATTAAAATTTTACACATTTTGTCAAATTTCTCGAAAACAGACCATCTTAGAAAAATTATGCATGGGACAAAAATTATTACAAGCAACTAAATTCAAGAATTTTCTTCTCGAAACGTAAATTCCATAAAGTAGAAAAACAACTATCCATAAAGTACCCCACCAGATGTTCCGACTATGACCAAAATTTAATCAATCCACCGCAGGATGGATTGAAGCTTAAATTTTTGAGTTGTGTTCAAAATTTATACGCATTTTCTAAAATATCTCGAATACGGTCCATTTTAGAGAAATTATGTATAGAATAATATTTATAGAGAATAACACTACCAACAACTTTCTCGAATACGGACCATTTTAGAAAAAATTTGTATGGGACAAAAATTATAGAGAATAATATTACAAGTAACTTTTATTTGAAGATTTTTCTTCTTCAAATAACATATATGCCATAAAATATAAAGACACGACCCCCTATAAAGTACCCCCCAGAAGTGCCGACTCTGCCCAAAATCTAATCAGCTTATACCGCAGGCCGGAATAAGGTTAAGAGCAAACATGACGGGCGCTCCTCCACCAAAAATCAATTTTACATTTGAGGCAGTTAAAAAAAATTGTAAAAAAAAATGGTTCAGGCCAATCGTTGTAAAAATTAACCAAGAATTTCGCTAAACCGCGAAAAACTTATATTTTTAAAGAAAAACAACAAAAATTTCAACTTTTTAATAAATTTAATTTTTTGGCTCTTTACCGGCATTCTATAACAAATATCTTAACTATTTTCTAAATAACTTTTTTTCAAAAAGATTACCAATTTTAAACAGGACCGAAGATTAACATAGTTTTCATTCCGATACTAATTCTATTAAAACAATGATACCAGTGAATATGGCAACGCTGCTAGTCTTTGGAGCCCGTGGTTAAAAGGGTAGCCTGCCGTTTAGTTAAATTTGTTAATTCCTGTGTCGAAAAATAGGTAGTTGTTTTTGAAGAGGTGCGAAATTATTGTGATCGTAATTTAGTTTTTAGTTAATTTATGAAATGAAAAATTCTGAAAGGCAAAAATGCACAGCTGACAAATTTCTATTTTATTTGTTTGCTGCCAGAGTTAGTAAAAGAGATTGTCAAGAATTTTGCACGCTTAAAAAAATGTGTAATATACAGGGTGTTTCTAAATACATGCGACAAAATTCAGGAACTGAGTGCTCGTATGAAATTAAGATGGGTCTTTTCTATAACAAGATTTCCTCAGCCCACCCCTTTTCGAAATATCACCCTTAAAAAGTGGTGACTAAAATTGAGTTTTTATTTTTTTTCTAAAATTTCAGTAAAGCTAGAAACTTGAAATTCTGTAATCGCAAAGGACTAACCACGGGTATTTTTTCAATATTTCTGTTACATTATAGGGGTGAAATTAGCAAAACTTACTTTATTTCATATCAAAACTTTTTTTCGAGATGAACTTTTATGAAATCCTTGATTTATTTAATTTTTTTTTTATTCTTGAATTTTTTTCCCAAAACCAATAGCTTCAGAGAAAAAAAATTAACACCCTAATTTATTATTATTTTTTTTAATAAATTGAGTGGAAAACAGTGTAACGGACTTGTAACTATCGTATCGTACACTCTGTCATTATTCGTTTCTTGCAATAATTTGCACCAGTTTACTCCAGAAGATAGCACTTAACGAAGAGTTTTAGCCACTAATTTTCGCGAATTTTAAGAAATTATTAACAAGACATTAGAGGCTTAAATTTGAAGATTATATTAAGAATAGTGCTGTCGAGGAATGCATTTATTTTCATTATGATATTTCAAAATTAAAGCCCTTTTAGTTTTTTTGGGAAACTGGAAGGAATTAAAATATATGCATATTATAGATATTATTGCCTAATTTATTTTGTCAAAATTTAAATATTTTGAGATATTCTTGTCCGATAATTATAAGGGGTATGAACACCTTAAGATTGAAAGATAATTAACTTTAATTCATGAGATGCAAAGCATCATAATTGTCGCGTCACAAAAACCACCTGCTGCCAAGAGAAAACTTTGATTCAACAGTATTGTATATTTTGTGTTGTAAAAGAAAAAATTAACATTTCGTGTTTTAATAGTTATTTTTTTAATTTAATAATCTATGTGAAAAAAATTTTTTTTAATACAGACTTTAAAAAATTGTTATATTAATATACTTATTTAATTGTACTTATATTTGTTGTTCCTTTAATACAATAAATACAATTTACCTATCTCCAATTCATCACTTTCGGTATCCATATACCTAGGGTCCGATTACAATTAGAAAAACACCGCTACGTCATAACTATTATTTCGAATTTCCAATATACACGGTGTCCCGAAATTAGACGGTCATATTTTAACAGCGTAATCTACATCCTACAAGTATTAGAAATTAAAAATTAAAAAAAACCGAATTCAAAAACGTGCAGATGCCGTCATCACATCTTAACCAAATTTATATGGAACCATCCCTGAGGTACCCCCTTACTAACAAAAAAAGAATCATATGAATCGGACAAGGTGGTAAAGCATTATCGCTAAACATACATAAAAAATGAAGAGTTTGAGGATTTTGTCATGGACCCAATTATTAGATTTTAACCAAATTTATATGGGACCACCCCTGAAGTACCCCCTTTCTAACAAAAAAAGAATCATTAAAATCGGACACCGTGTTAAAGAATTATCGGTGAACATACATAAAAAAAAAATAAAAAAAATATTACGACGAATTGAGAACCTCCCTCCTCCTTTTATGAAGTCGGTTAAAAATAGGAGTAAAAGTTTATGTAAACATAGGTCCGAAAACGGTTCGTTTTCGAGATACAGGGTGTTACAAGTGAACTCCAGATGAAATATTTTCTAAAATTTCTTTAGTTACCGGTTTTTCAAAGTTAAAAAAAAATAAAATTTCTAATTCTACAGACCTACTAATTATTGTTTACACTTTCGAATAAGGTAACATGCTTTTCTCTTGAAAATGGCGCGTCCTAGCGAGATGCAACAAATGTAGCTTTATTATACAGAAAATATTGGTTTTCCAAATTTATCAAAAAATCTGATGTGTCCAACACATGACTTTCCTATCTAGTTATTATAGGCTTTTTCTGGTTATTTTGTACAAATTATTGCAGTACCTCTATAAATGTTTAGAGGATAAACTAAATATATACATTTTCCACATACATCTATCTACCTCGAAACATTTTTCTATAGTTATTCATTAAAAACGAAAATACTGAAAAATTTAAATTTAGCAATTTTCCTACAATTTTTCCATTACGGTCCATTTTAGAAAAATCATGTATGAACAAAAATTATAGAGATCGATATCGCAAACAACTTTTAGTTTAGTTTAGAATTTTGCACATTTTGTCAAATTTCTCGAATACGGACCATTTCAGGAAATTTTGACATAAAGCAGAAAGTATAGATAATAATATTAGAAGTAACTTTTATTTAAATAATTTTCTTCTCCAAACATAAATAACAGATATATTCAATAAAATATAAAAACGGCCTCCCATAAAGTACCCCCCAGATGTTC